GGTTATTTAGTTAATTTATACTAATGACTAATACATTTGGGTTTATTTCTATGAATACGTTTGGGTTTATTCCTTTTTTCTTACCTTTTTTTTGATTGATAAAATATTTGTTGTTTTACACTAAGGAGTAAAATAGAATAGACTTCATTACTGTCTGCTTCCATTTCTTCAGTGCTAATCTCTGGCTTCCTTTAGTTCTGGCTTCCGTCAACTGAAGAGGAAAAGTAACAGATTCTCCAAGTGTACAGAACAGTAGATGGTTTAAGCTTAGAAATGAATGGGCTGGAAGGAAGAATAGAGATAAATAGACATGGAGAATCACATTATTTGAAGGGATCTATGAGATACATGGTTTTATAATAGAAGGGGCTGCATTTTCAACAACGGAAAAGAGAAATAATGTCAGTTATTCTAAATACTGTATAGTAAAACTTCCTTGGCTCCAAATGTATCCAAGTTTATCAATTTGATTACACTTACAGATACTTCTATCCTTTGAGAATAAACCATGCTATTGACATTCTGAAGTCAAAATTAAGCCTCACTATTTAATTGCTACTTTTCTGAAATCCTTTGGATGATTTTAGTAAAAGTAATTGGTATTATCTGATACCTATTCTATCATCTTTCCTCTTCCTAGCTTTCTTTTTGATTTTATTTATTTATTGAGACAAGGTCTCACTCTGTCACCCAGACTAGCCTGTACTGGCACCGCCTTGGCTCACTGTAACCTCCGCCTCCCAGGTTCAAGTGATTCTTGTGCCTCAGTCTCCCGAGTAGCTGGGATTACAGGCAAGTATTACCATGCCTGGCTAATTTTTGTATTTTTAGCACAGAGGGGGTTTCACCATGTTGGCCAGACTGGTCTCGAACTCCTGACCTCAAATGATCTACTCACCTTGGCCTCCCAAAGTGCTGGGATTACAAGCATGAGCCACCATGCCCTGCCTCTTTTTGATTTTAGAGGAGGAATTTTTACTAATGTGTTTCTAAAGCTAATATTCCCAACTCCTTCTAGCTTACCCTTACCCACCTCCTGTGGAATATCACCTTCACCTGTTTTGGCATGTTTGCTGTCACCTTTTTGGTTTCTCCTCAGAATATATCTTTTGTCTCTCCTGCCATTTCTAGTTACATTCAGTCTCTTGGATCTCTTTTCCAAGGTTTATTCCCTCTACTTCCATTTTCTATTTACTCATTTCTTTTTATTGTTTCTCAAAAGGTTTAATTTAATCAGGTCATTTAAAAAGCAGATGCATATAAACACAAAAAGAGCTCAGATTTGGACTTCCTGCTGGCAGAAACATAAAAAGGAAAAAAAGAGTTCAAATTTGTATGTTTAAAAAATGGATCCATAACAACTGTATATATTTACAGAGTACAAGTGATATTTTTGGTACATGCATACAATATGTATAGAGCTCAATTTTTCTTTTTAATTAAAAATTTTATTATTTACTCATTTATTTGTTGATGTATTAGCTAGGATATTTTCAGCTGCATGTGACAAGAAATCCAACTACTAATGTAGTTTAAATAATGAGGATATTAGTAATCTCACATGACAAGAGTTCAGAGACAGGGCCATTTGAGAACTGGTGAAGTGTTCAGTGATGATATTCAAGACCCAGGCTCTTTTCATCTTTTAATGCAACCATTCTTGGTATGCTGGTGTTCATCCACAGCCTTATCTTCTCATGGTTGCAAGATGGCTGTCATAACTCCAGGCATCACACTTCACAGAACTATGTCCGAGATGGAAAAAAAAGTACTTTCCTTCTCACAGTTCTTTCCATCAGGAAGGAAAGCATTTCAAAACCTCCTTATCAGACTTCTCTGATGCCATTTTCTCAGAATAAGGTCACATGTCCTGGCTGCAAGGACTGGGAAAATTAGTTTATGGTATTTTAATCCTCTATAGTAGTTTTGGTAGCAAGAAAGTCATATTTTGGAATGATATGATTTGTGGTAAGAACCCAGTCATGTTTAGCACAATTAACTTTTTAAATTTACCTTTTAGTCTTGAGCTCCAGATCCATATAACGAATTGCTACTGGAAATTTCCACTTGGAAGACCCACTGATATCTCAAATTCAATGTATCTGCCCTTTCTCCCTGCCCCTGGCTCTTCTCCATACTCCACCTCAGGAAACAGCAACACCATCTATTCAGCTGTCACGCCAAGAACCTGGGTGTTATCTTTGCCTCCTCTCTTTTTCTCATCCTTTTCCATCATCTTATATGATTGCCTCCATCTCCTATAGGCCCCTCACATCTGCCCACTTCTCTCCATCTTTATGTCCTCATTGCCTCTATCCTGTGTTGTCCATTTCTGAACCACAGAACAGTGCTTAACTCAGAGCAGTAAGTCGGTTTGTGGGATGAATGTTTCCAAATGAGAGACAAATATTTTAAGATAAACAACGACTACTATCTTGCCTTATCAATTAGCTTCTTTTCAGGTCTTAAAGGGACCCATTTTTGTTGTTGTTGTGGGGTGGGTGGAAGACCAGATGCAGCAGGATGGGTTATTGACAGAAGAGAATTAGAAAGGTTATAAAGTTTTTAAACTCTCTGTTGGTCCTATACTAGCCTGTACTTCTCTCCTTGTGCTCTCCTCACGTTAGGAAACAGAGGATGCTGTCCTGGAGGTCATAATAACCTAAATGAGTAAAATTCTGAAAGCCAATTTTCAATTCCCAAGTGTATTGAGTATCTAGAATTTCCAGGGAACTTGATGGATCAGAGTAATGCAAAAAAGCAGGACCTCAAGCCCCAGGGTTTTGTAGCACCTGTAAAACATGTTTTATAGTTTCTGTTGTTAAGCTAAATATTTGACATCATATGGCACTTTAAGCACATTGATTTATGGTAAGTCAGCAATTGCATCTGTAATAAAAAGTCCAAAGTATGGGTTTTAAAAGTAATCTACTGTATTTATTATTGACATAAACAGTTACCTGCAGTCCATTTGAACATCATCTTAGATTTAACTCATGTATTAAAGATATTATATTTTCCACTCAGCAAGGTCACCTTCAAAGTGAAAACTGTATGTGGCTGAAAATGAAAAAAATCAAATGTATAAAGATAAATATTCTGAAAATAAATGATATATAGAATTTCATTTTTATACACTCCTGATTAATAATCATATTCTGTTTATTTTTTATGCCCGCTTTCTTCTCCCCATCCCCAACTCCAGCAACCACGAATCTGTTTTCCATCTTTATAACTTTGTTATTTCAAGAATGCTATGTAAATGGAATCACATAGTCTGTAACCTTTTGAGATCGACTTTTCTTTTTTCCACTCAGCGTAATTCCCTTGAAGTCTTTTTAGTTTTATGTGGAATGTCTGCCTCATGCTTGTTTCACCAGGGTAGTTACAACTAGGGTGGCAGAATTTGACTAATTCAAGAAATACTTCAATATAAATCAAAATAAGAGAGTCTAAATTCTAAGTAATTTTTTAACAGGGCAAGATTATTTATAATTATGAGTCCGTAGTAATGAATGATGAATATTTATTTTTAGACTATGTTAGAGCAAGTTTGGACAAAAATGCACCTAGTTCAATTGTGAGGTAGTTGAAAGCATGATTAAAATAACCACCAAAATTCCCTAATGCTAATTTAAGAGTATTTTAGTAAACATTTAAGAAAAAAAATATGAAAAATGTTGGAAAATATACAATGTTTATTTTACATGTGCCAAATGTGTATTAATTTATGAACATTTATTGTATTCACCTTGTGTGTGTCTGGTAAGCCCAGAATCATGGAAAAACAAAATCTGCATGGGCCAAAGGTACACATTTTATTGCCTTTCTTTGACTAGCCAATGTGTTTCTTGCTATTGTTCTTAAGATATTGTATGTAGGTTTATGTTTGTTTTCAAAAATAAGTGAAAAGTATGACAAAGGCAATTTCTCTTTAAATAACCTCAACAGAAGGAGGTCTGCTCTTTGGGGTTGGTTTATTTTAGGGAGAATGTCTGCAGGCTGTGTCACAGTCTCCAAGGCTACTCCCAGGTTCAGTGATTCTCTAGGAGGACTCATAGGACTCAGCATAAGTCATACTCAGGATTATGATTTATGACTGAGAAAGGATACACAGCAAAAGCAGCGAAGGAAAAAGGCACATCAACTGAAGTCCGGAGGAAACAAGGTACAAGCTTCTAAGGGTCCTTTCCTAGCTGAGTCACACAGGACACCTTTAACTCCCCCAGCAGCAAGCTGACAATATGTATGAAATGCTGCCAACCAGAGAAGCTCATTAGAGACTCATGCCCAGGGTTTTCACTGGGGGTGATGACATAGCACTTTCTATCTAGCACATACCCAAATTTCAGGCTCCCAGAAGGAAAGCAGGTGGTCAGCATAAACCATATTATTTGTACAAATGGTTCAGGCACAGTGAGCCACTGTTATCTACTAATGGAGGGAATCCTCCCAAAATCTGAATTTCCAGATGCTAGACAAACGCCAGCCTTGCAAGCTGGTCTTTTCAAGGATAGCAGCTTAGGCCTGCTGTGTAAGTCTTTTCTGCCCATAAGCACATTTAGTGTAATGCCTTAGTCTATCAATTTGATCTCCATCTCTCTTGGCTCCTCTGTCTTGGAACTCAAGTGAATAAGGGAAAGTGTTACTTACTTGTTTTTGTCACCCAGGCGGGAGTGTAATGGCATGATCTCAGCTCACGGCAACCTCCGCCCCCCCGGGTTCAAAAGATTGTCCTGCCTCAGCTTCCCAAAAATTTGGGATTACAGGCATGTACCATGATGCCTGGCTAATTTTTGTATTTTTAGTAGAAATGGAGTTTTGCCATGTGGCCGGGCTGGTCTTGAAATTCCATAATCCCTATGTTTTCACAAGGCTTATCAAGTTGTACAGTGCTTTTCCTCTACATAGTCTCAATTGGTTATTATTTAAAACCACTAAATTTTGGGATCATTTGTAACCAGAAAACAATGAATAAAATCATGAATTCTATTTTACAGTGGCAGAAATGAAGACTCAGGGACATTAAATGATGGTATGTCAGAACCAAGTACCAAGGAAGGACTTCAGATTTTTTTCCTCCACTATACCACAATACTATGATTGTTCATTCTTACTCAGTCCACATACAGAACCTTACATAAAGGATGGAGGCTTGATTCCAAGTTAATTATTTCAGCCACCTCATCTGTCATTTCAATTTGAATTTAATGATATTCATATACTGTAAACCTCCTCTGTAGAATTTAAAGAGCTTATTCTAAAAAAAAATATATGACATGACAAAGGATATAGAATATTCAAAACAGTTTTTGAGGAAGAACAAAGTGGGAGAATTTATATACCTAATTTTGAGATGGACAAAAAGCAACATTAATTAAGACAATGTGGTATTAGCATAAGGATAGACACAAAGACCTATGGATACAATAGAGAGCCTAGAAGTAGACCCATAAATGTATTTTCAATTAATTTTTTACATTTGTACTAAGGCAATTCAGAGGGAGAAAAGATTGTATCTCTAACAAATGATACAGGAGGAATTGGGTGTCTAAAAAAAAACTAACCTTGACCCTTAGTCACACCATCTACAAAGTTAACTAGATCATACAATTAAATATAGAAGCTAAAATCGTAAAACTTACAAAGCACAAGGGAGAAGTTTTGTGACCTTAAGTTAGGAAAGACTGTCTTAGATAAGAAAACAGAAACAATAAAAGAAAAAAATAGGTTAATTGGACCTTCATTAAAATTATAAACATAAAATCTTCAAGAATAGAAGATGAGGTTTCTGGAATGGTAGTATGAGTCACTGACAGAAATAAAGGGAGAGATAAATAATTCAATAATGTAATGGGATTCTTTAGTACCCTACTTGCAATAATGGATAGAAGAGGTAGGCGTAAAATCAAGAAGGATGAGAAGACTTGAAAATCTCTCAAAAGTGTAAATCAAAGAGACCTAACATATAACTATTCAGTACTCTACCCAACAACAGCAGAATACTCATTCTTCTCAAGTACACATGGAACATTCTCTAGAACAGACCATATGGTAGGTCACAAGGAAAGCCTCAATGAATTGAAAAGGATTTAAATCATATAGAGTATGTCTTCTGATCAGAAATAACAGAAGAAAATTTAGGAAATTCATAAATATATGGAAATTAAAACATTTCTAAATAACAAATGGGTCAAATAATAAGTCACAAGGGAAATTAGGAAATGTTTTGAAATAAATAAAAACAAAACAGAATACTAACATTTATATGATGCAACTAAAGCAATGCTTAGAGGAAAATTTATAACTCTAAATGCCTATGTTTAAAAAGAAAAAAAAAATACTTTATCAATAACCTAATTTTATACCTCAGGAAATAAATCTTCAGGAAATAAAACCCAAAGCAAGAAGAACGAGGGAAATAATAAAAGCTGGCATGAAAATAAATGGAATAGGGAACAGAAAAACCATAGAGAAAATCAATAAAACCGAAAGCTGGTTCTTGAATCAACAAAATTAACAAAGTTTTATCCAGGTTGACCAACAACAGTAACAACAAAAAGAAGACTAAAATGACTAAAACTCAAGAATAAAAGAAGGTTTGTAACTACCAACATTATTAGTCATTGGAGAAATACAAAGTAAAACTCCCAGGAGATACTAGAATAGCTAAAATAAAAAATTTTTAAACCTGATAATATAATATTGATGAGGATATAGAGCAGCTAGTGGGAATGCAAAAAGCCAAAGCCAGTTTTCATGGCAGTTGGCAATTTCTTAAAATGTTAAACATATACTTACAGAAACTGACAAGTTGATCCTAAAATTCATATGGAAATGTAAGAGACCTCAAATAGCTAAAACGATCTTGAAAAATAATCACACAATTTAGTAATCCTATTCACTGGTATTAACTCAAGAAAAATAAAAACATAAGTTCTCAAGAAGACTGTACATGAATGTCCTTAGCAGCTGCTATAGTCTGCTATCCCTTCTCAAATTCATATGCTGAAACCTATTGCCCAATGCAATAGTATTAAGAAGTGTAGCTTTTAGGAGGTCATTAGGTTATGAGGGTGGAGCACTCATGAATGGGATTAGTGCCTTTATAAAAGAGGATGGAGGGAGTCTGTTCACCCTTTTGTCATGTGAGGACACAAGAAGGTGCCATCTATGAGGCAGAGAAAGAGCCCTCACTAGATATTGAATCTGCTGGTGCTTTGATTTTAAACTTCACAGTCCCCAGAACTCTGGGCAATAAGTTGCTGTTTATCAGTTACAGTCTAAGGTATTTTATTATAGCAACCTGAAAGGACTAAGACAGCAGTATTATTCATAGTAGCCCAAACTGGAAGAAACTCAAGTGTTCATCAACAGGTGAATGGACAAATTGTTCTATACCCATTAAGTGAAATCCTACTCAACAATAAAAACAAATAAACTACTGGTGTATACAAGATTCATTATGAAATTCATTGATGAATTTCAAATGATTTTTGCTAAGTGAAAGAAGACAACCACAAAAGACTACATATTCTATGAATTCACTTATGTGAAAATCTAGAGAAAGCAAAACTATAATGAAGAAAACCAGATCAGTAGATGATAATAGTGTTCACTACTACTAAGTACATTTACTATACAAATATATATATGGAACATATATAATAATTGCAATGTGGCAACAGATTATAATGGCAATGGGTCTTTTAGGAAATCTTAACATTTTCAATTCCAGGTTTGAAAAATTATCAAAATTCTAGGCAAAATATTATTCCTCTCAAATAATTATGAGTGATTTATCTGGGCAACTCCTACATTCAAGATTGCTAGGAAGACTCAGTGAAATGGAAGGAAATGATGTGGTAACTCTTCCAAGCCTCTACTATCCATACAATTTATTCTTCCCTTTAAAAAACAGTCTAATATTCACAGAAAAAACTTCAGAATCCTTCCCTGTATAATGGAGAGACAATGCCAGAAAATGTAAAATGCTCAAGTTAGAAACAAACAGTAGCCCCAGGGTCTCACAAACACGTCAACAGATCAGTCATATGGTTATAAGCAATTAGAAACAAACATTTAGCAAGCACATTGTAAGGAAGAGGGACTTCCAGGAACTTCCTTGTGAAGACTGCACTTGAGGTGACCTTGGAAGAAGAGCATAACCAACAACTCAGGGCCATCTTACAACTGGAATGAGGGCTGTACAACCCACACAGGCCTGTGTCAATGGGTAGTAACATGTGGCAGAACTTCCGCAGTGCAGAGAGAAAAATTTAGAATGGATAGAATTTCTTAGCCACCCCTGGCAAGGGTATCATAAGGATAAATTTAACTGTTGATATAATGACTTAATGTATATATTTTGTCATCAGTTTTATTAGTCATGCTCATGTTTAATAAATATTGAGCTTAGTCCAGAATGGGAAGTTCAGTTATTCTTGATTAAACTTTCGTGGTTTTTGTTAAGACTCTTAAAACTTTTTTTGATGTATCCTAATGTTTTTCTGCTGAGACTCTACTGTTAAAACACCTATTTAAAAATATTATTTATATGATATTTAATTTTAATAACAAATGTCATGAGTGATAATAATGACAAATAACAGCTATAATCTGTGAACTTAGCCTTTCTTTCTGATTTGAAAATTGCCTCCTTTTTGAAATAAACTAACGAAAATTAAAGATGTACAGTTTAATACCTTAGATTTTCTGTCCTTTAATTCATGAACTAATTAAGTATTGTCTGGCCCTCACAATTTTTTCTCTTAATGCATCAATGCTTTCAGAATTCTTTTAAAGCTCATTTTTTGAAAGTAGTATTAGGAGAAAGACTGTAAGAGCTTAGTTAAGATATTTGCGTTTCATGATTGGAGACTGTTCTAAGTGAAAATGACATTGCCCTTGGCTAGAGAGGGGTCCGCAGAAGTGTAGGTAGAGCCTTTCTCTTGTTCTCTGGGTCTGTGTAGGACATTTCATCAAAGGATAAAAATGACCAGCTGTTAATATTTACATATATCAAAGAGCCACATGATTGTGGTTTAGTCCTCATTGCCATGAATTTTGTTCCTAATTTAGATAATTTTAGTTATCAGATCAAAACCATCACACACTTTGTTTAAATCAGAACATGCTGAATTGGTTTTCTTTATCCTTTCAAAAAGCTCCTTCTTGTTAACCATATTAGTAGTGGGCTTTTACAAAAGGACTTTAGCTTTACAAAGCCAGGTTAGTAAAAAAATAAAACAGGACTTAACCCTAGGAATCTTTTGCCTCATTTATCTAATGAACACATCAAGTGGATTTTAAGAGAGAGTTATTGTACTAAAATATAGAAACAGATGTACTAGAATTTAACTTTTAAAGTAGCACTTGAGTGACATCCACTGGCCAGACAGCTTTATTGGCTGTGTGAGAGATGTTACCTCTGATGAGTGCCAAATAAGAAAACATTTGAAGATAGATGCTCTTAATAATTGTACACATTTGTCCAAAAAGCAAATGATTTCTACCTTTAAAAATTTATCCACTACTATAGACAGATCTCCATGCTATTTCTGGAAATCTATGCAGCATGTCTGCTTAAATTGGCAAAAATTCAAAAGCTTAACAATACAATTTCTTGGTCAGACTGTGGAAAAATAGTTTTTTTTTTTTTTTTTTTTTTTTTTAAATCATGACAGAGTCTCACTTTGTCATCCAGACTGGAGTGAAGTGGTGTGATCATGGTTCATTGTAGCTTCAACCTCTCAGGCTCAAGTGATCCCCTTGCCTCAGCCTCCCAAGTAGTTGGGACTACAGGCTCATACCACCATGCCTGGCTAATTTAAAATATTTTTGTAGAAAAGGGGGTCTCACTATGTTGCTCAGGCTAGTCTTGAACTCCTGGGCTCAAGTGATCCTTCGGCCTTGGCCTCCAAAAGTGCTAAGATTACAGGCATGAGCCACTGTGCCTGGCCAAAAATAGGTATTTTCATAATGTGAAATGCTACAGCCATTTAAAAGGAAATTTGGAAATACTTAACAAAACCATATATAGATTTATTCTTTGGTTCAGCAATTCCACTTTAGCCTGAAGACACGTATTTGCAAGATTGCTTATTGCAACATGATTTGCAATCACAAAATACTGGTAACTTACTAAATACGCAAATATAGAAAGGTGTTTGAAGAAACTATAGTATTAATACATACACACAATGCAGTACCATGCAGGTGTAAGAAAAAAAACAAGGAAAATCTGTATGAACTTATATGGTGCAATCCTCAGGACATATTGTTAAGCAGACAAATAGAGAACTTTTAACAACTGACATCCATATTAGTGCGTTTTTTTATTTTTTTATTTTCCTAATCCAGTCATTAAATTTTTAGTACTAGAAATTTTGGGTGAATCAGGAATGGTGGAGGTGGGTGGAGAAGGCATTTTGAGCCAGGTACAACATCTACCTTTGGCTTCCATATGCCAGCATTCCTACATACTAATGTAGTCTACTGGGGATTTGGAGGGTCAGGTCACTTATCTTGATGTGTATATGGATAGATGGATAGATAAGAGATCCAAAGCAGATAATAAACACGTGTTTGGGTCTAGGTGTATGAATTGAAACAGACACGGACTCTGCCATGTTGCAATATTCACAGACAAATCATTCTTGAGTCTGGTAATTTCATTTACTCCAAGATTTCACACTGATCTGTTCAGGTGGGTGTGTGTTGATTTATATTTCTGTCTTATTTTTAGTAGTCCCTCATTGGCCTGAAAGGCTGAGTTGGTATCATGTGGGAAAACCCTACTACTTTCCAAATTGTAAAATGCGTCCTGCTTGGTAGAGTAATGCTCACATTTCCCTTACTCTTGCTTTTATCCCAATGGGCTTATTTTTATGTTTTTTTTTTTTTCTTATCTTGTTCTCTTTCTTCTTCTCGCTTTGAATTTCAAAGGTATCTTTGTTGCATTTTTTTTTCTATTAAGAGGTGGGGATCTTAAAAATTTCCATTAAAAATAAAACAAACACAGCAGGCTGGTGCAGAAGCATTCATTCACCTGTGCCGCAGAACTGGAGGAATACTTTTTTCTTGAGACGTTTCTCTGTCGCCATCTACTGACAAAGCTGAACATCATGCCACCTGGCAAAGGAAGAATATTTTAAACACTCGGTCTATGAAAAGAATGAACTTGGACCCGAGGCAGTAAATTCATAAGCTGCAAGGGGAATGCTCATATATACTTCCCATAGTGATTCTTCCAACAGGTTAGTTAGCTTTTTCTTAAAATATATTCTTATCATCTTTTGTGTTTCTCCTTTTTAATATGTAATTTACAACTATGTGCACATTATTGTATTATTTATTTACTTAGGTGCATTTTCACTCTTGTTGTCCAGGCTGGAGTTCAATGGCACGATCTTGGTTCACTGCAACCTCTACCTCCTGGGTACAAGTGATTCTCCTGCCTCAGCCACCCAAGTAACTGGAATTACAGGCATGTGCCATCACACCTGGCTAATTTTGTATTTATTTATTTATTTATTAGTAGAAATGGGTTTTCACCATGTGTGTCAGGCTGGTCTCCAACTCCTGACCTCAGGTAATCCACCTGCCTCAGCCTCCCAAAGTGCTGGGATTATAGGCATGAGCCACTGCTCCAGCTGTACATTATTTTTTATTGCTCAAAATAAAAGCAATTTTTGTTTTGTAATGGAATGTTTATGTACTTGGTACATAAACATTCTTTCAGACCTATTATTTATTTATTTAAATTTGTATAAACTTATCGGGTACAAGTGCAATTCTGCTACATGCGTAGATCATGCAGTGGTCAAGTCAGGGCTTTTAGGGTATCCATCACCCAAATAATGAACATTGTATCCATTAAGTAATTTCTCAGTACAGGCCCCTTTACCCTTCGGAGTCTCTACCATCTGTCATTCCACTCTCTATGTCCATGTGTTCACATTTGTTAGCAGCCACTTATCAGAGAGAACATGAGCTCCCAGTACTGCTCAGTGGATGCTTTCCCAGTATCTTGGCCACTAGTTTTGCCAATTCAGTTCTAAAATATAAGGACAGCCTTAGACTCCTAAAGTACAATTTTTCTTTTAAAATCAGTACTTCATTCACATAATAATACACAAACTTTTCATTCCTGTGATTACATAAATCAGAGATTATAAACTTTTTCATGAGTCAATATATGGAAGTAAACCAATGTCTAGTCCCATGATTCAAATCAGTGTGGTTATTTTCACCAGACTTCAAAGGCTTTCTTTGCACATCCTCTATGTAGAGTTGGAGGAAGCTAATATAGAAGTCAAGGGAGTCTGAATCCCTTTCTAAGAACTTTGTGTATGATGTTGCTTTTGTCTAAAATGCCCTTCCTCTGCCCCTCCAACCCCCACTCCCAATCGTCTTCATTCTTCGAGATCAGGCTCATTTTTCACTGCTCTGAGCTCCCAAGCAGAACCAGACACTCCTTCTCTCTTTTCACATACAGAAACCTGCACTGCAGGTGGGGAGAGGTGGGGGTGGGGGTAGACCAGGGAGACAAAAGAAGGCACTGAAAAGGTTTACAGTTTGGCTTCCAAGATGAAGGGTGAAGATAAAGAGAATGTTTTGGCTTTTTTTGTTTTGGCTCAGGAGGAGTAAATGCACATGAAGACCGAAACCAAAACTTGGGATTTTGGGGGGTTACCCTATTCTCTTTTCTGTCTGTGTTTCTAACTTTGCTTCAGAGGCTGCAGCTACCCCCACACCTGTGAAACCAGACTGGTCAATCCAGTGACCTTGTATCCCAGATGATAAAGCCTATACTTACACCTCGAATTGCTCTCACTTTTCCATCACTTGGTAATTATAAAATAAGTGCAGTTTGTTTAGCTAATAATAGGTCAATGAAGTTAGAATGAACAAGTTCATTGTTTGGACAGGAATAGATTTTTCCACAGCAGTAAGCTTCCCTTGTTACACCACTAGGTGGTGCAACGTGCTCCTGATTTAAGGGGCTCACTGATTTACTTAGGCAGTTTTCAAGCTGGGCCCTGTTCCAGATACTTGAGATAGAAAGATGCACAAGACTCTCAGGAGGTCAAAGTGTGATGGGTATAGTTTCAGATTTACAGAAAAGTTGTAAGGCTAGTACAAACAGTTCCCACATACCCTCTACTCAGACTCTTAAAATGGCAACATTTTACCACATTTGTTTTATTCTTTCTCTTTCCATATACATATATGTATATATAAATACTATATCTATGTATATGTTCTTTGACTTCTAAATATCTGAGTATGTGTTTTCTAAAAATAAGTACCTTCCTTTATAACCACAGTAGAATAGTCAAAATCAGGAAATCAATGCTGATAGAATATAAATCAATTACTTACAGAACATAGATTTTGTCAACTGTCCCAATAAGGTTCCCTACAGCCAAAGAAATCCTGGATCATGTGTTGCATTCAGCTGTTATGTCTCTGCAGTCTTCTTTAATCAGGACAATTCCTTAGTTTTTTATGACTCTGAGAAATACAGGTCAGTTATTTTGTATAATATCCTTCAATTTGGGTTTGTTTGGTGTTTCCTTATGCTGAGATTTTGGCATGAGCTGTTGTTAAGTAAACCACAGTTTTGTGTTTTCAGTTTCAGTGCATATCTGGGGGCACATAATGTCACTTTGTCTCAATACTGGTAATATTAACTATGATCCCTTGGTTCAGGTGTGTGGGCCAGGTTTCTGCACTATTTTTTCCTTTGTCATTAATAAATCTCTGGTGAGGAGCCACTTTGAGATTATGCATATATCTTTTATACTTCAAACTTTTATCCACTAATTTTAGCAACTATTAATGATTCTTGCCTGGATCAAATATATGATGATGCCTAGCAAATAGTGGTTTTCTATTTCCATCATTCCTTCTACATTTACTGATTGGCTTTCTACTACAAGGAAGAGCATTCCTTTCTCTTCTGTTTGTTTAGTATTTCTCCCAGGTCCAAGGCAAGAGTGTACACTATCTTCACCGCTATTTAACATTGAACTGGAGATATTGGCTACTGCAATTAGACAAGAAAAATCAATTGAAGGCAGAAGGACTAAAAAAGAGTAAGTAAAACTCTCTGTCTTTGCAGATGGTATGATACTACACCTGGAAAATCATAGAGAATTAACAACAACACTAGGTCATGCAAGAGAAGAATTCAGTGACAGGACATACAATTAACATACATAATCAACAGCCTTCACATACATAATCAGTAGCATGACATAAAGAGAGAGAAAACTACATTTACAAAAGCAACAAAGAATAATAAAGTTAGTAAGAAATATGTAAAATGTGTATAAACACTCTCAAAAGACACAAAATAGTTTGAAAAAATGGAACACCCCTTCTTTTTGTATGTGATGACTTAACTTTAAAAAGTGAAGTCTCTGTGAGTTAATTTTTAAAGTTCATCAAATAATACCAAGTTTTCTTATGGAGCTAGGCAAGCTGATACTAATTTCAGATGAAAAAACATGGAAGAATATTGAGGAAAACAAAAATAAGGGCTATGAAAGGGGACTACCTCTACCAGTAACTAAAACATCCTCTGAAGCCTCTAAAATAAAAACTGTGGTCCTGGTGCATGACAAGAGAGACAGGCCAGTACAACCGAAAAGAAATTTTAGAAGTAAACCCAAATACATATGGGAATTTAGTATACAAAAAAAGTGGCATCTCAAATCACTTGGACAAAGATGGACCTAACAATTGGTTAGCCATTTAGAAAAAGATAAAAAGTTTGACCTCTACCTCATACTAGGCAAAAGAATAAACTCCAAATGGGTCAGGAATCTAAATAGTGAAACCATATAAGTACTAGGAAAAAAAAATGAGTGAATTCTTCTATAAGCTGGGTACAAGGAAAGGATTTCTAACTATGTTTCAAAATCCAGATGCAATAAAAGAAAAAAATTGATAAATTTGACTATATTCTGAAAAAACGCTTTCTGTGACAAAACAAATAAGCTGAAACCTCATAAAGACAAGAGACAACTAAGAAACTGGGAGTAAAAGGGTGATATACCATTAACGTGCTGTTAAAATTGAGAGGAAAGACTTCTTTTGTGCTTAGGTTATGAAAAGCTGCAATGAACATCCTCCCTTTCTCAATAATGGGAAAAACTCAGATGAACTACAAAGTCACAACCTTAACTGAAACCATCAGATGCAGCTGGGTTGCAAGCAACCAAGTAACCTGAATTCTTAAGAAAGGCAAGCCCCCAAGGAGAAGCTCTCATGGCTCACTGGAGCTTCTATTTTCTGGGCTCCAGTGATCCTCCCACCTCAGCTGGGACTACAGGGTAGTTTGCACTGCCTAAAAAGCTCTTTCCTGTGTCCTTCCCTGGGTGCTCAGTTTGGGGGGTACATTACCTTTTTCATTATATTACTCTCTGATTTTTTCTCTAGGTTTTAAATTTCTATAGTAATTTTTTAAAGACCTGAGAATTAAAGGAAGTTTCCACACTCCTAGAACCAGTTTTAAACCCATTCAATTAATCTACTGCCTCAATAGAATTTATTTTGAAAAAAACCCTTCTTTCTCAAAGTCAACCAATGACATATTCACTTCAATAAATTCAATGGAGAATTAACAACAGTCTTACCAGAATATCTATTCTTCTACAGATGATGGCAAACACTTTTCCCTTTGAAATGCACCTATTCCTGAATTTCATATTCCCTAAAGCTCCATAGAGCATCAGCAGCCTCCTCTGCTTGGGGAGACTGCCTACCCAGCATAGCTTTTCGTCCTTAGAGTATACAGTAAATCCAGTTTCGTTACTTTTCTTTTTCTTTCTTTCTTTCTTTTTTTTTTTTTTAACAGGGTCTTGCTATGTCACACAGCCTGGAGTGCAGTGGTACAATCATGGCTCACTGGAGCTTCTATTTTCTGGGCTCCAGTGATCCTCCCACCTCAGCTGGGACTACAGGTGCATGTCACCACACTTGGCTAATTTTTGGGTTTTGGAGAGATGAGGTTTCACCATGTTGCCCAGGCTGGTCTCCAGTTCCTGAGTTCAAGCATTCCACCCAACTCAGCCTTCTAAAATATTGGGTTTCCAGGTGTGAACCACTGTGCCCGGCCCAGTTTTGTTTCTTTTAGTTCAGATATTGATGATTGTCTCATAATTTTTTGACAAACCAAAGCCCCAAACTAAAAAGATCATTTTTATTGTTGTGTGGGCAACATATAATAGAAATGCAACAATGGAAGTCGACAGACTGATAGAGGCTGTTGAAAATCTTGTGTGAGGAGCAAACCCCTGGAGTTATAAAATAAAAAAAGAGAGTTTGTCATTAGAAACTGCATGTATTTACCATAAACAGAGTCAAAATAAATATTTGCAACTCCTATCAGCAACAAAGAGCCTATTTAATCAATAAGAAAAAACCTCAGTAACTCACCTGGAAAAATAAGCAAAGGATATGAACGAATTCCTAGAACAAATGTAAATTGCTATTAATCATATAAAAGAGGTTCAATATTCCTCAACACAATAGAAATATAAATTGGGACTGCACTATGATAGGAATTTTTCACTGATCATACTTGTAAAGACCAAAAATGTGATAACAAGCTTGATTAGGGATGGTGTGGCAAACAGGCTGTTTCCAAGATTGTCTTCAAGAATAAGGACAATTTCTAGGCTATACTGCTGGGCTGAAAGGAAGAAAAATAACTCTGCGTAGTAACTCTGGAAGGATTCAAAATAATCCAGTAATGATGATTACTTCCCATGAGTACTGGGTATAGGGAGGCAGGAAAGACTTGCTTTGAACTTTATTCTCTTTGGTACTGTTTGAATGATATACCAGATGTACTTCTTATCAAAAATAAGCAAAACAAAAAAATTTTAAAGAGCCTGTTGCGGTTGTCCGATAGATATAATTCTGGTAAGAGTAGTAGTCACGGAGAACATGCACAACTAGGGTATATTTTGGAGGAGAGTTGACAAGACATGCTGAAGGAGTAGATGTGGGAGATGAAGTAAGCCACCAAGGATGACTGGTAGACTTGTGGCTAGCTTGTCCCATTTACTTTGCTGAGGGACGCTTAGGGAGGAACAGGTATAGCATGGGTGAGAGAATTCAAGTCTTCTGTTTTAGATGTTGTAAGTTTGAGATGCTTATTAGTCATCCACATGATGTCAAAAAGCAAGTTGGAATGGTAGTCTTACTGCCCAAGAAAGGAGTCTGGAATGTAGGCATTTTAGAGGCAACAGCATATAAATCCACACAGATAAACAGAAATGCAGTATAACCCACATATGTAATTTCACATTTTTGAGCAGTCACATAAAAAGTAAAAATGGGTGAAATTAGTTTCAATATATATTTTAACCCAATATACAGAAAAATTTCAACATTTAATCAGTATTCAAATCAGGAAGTTATTTTTTTCATACACACCTTTGAAATCTGGTGTGTATTTTATATGCATTGCATATCTCACTTCCAACTGTCCACATTTCAAATGATCAACAGCCCTACATGGCTACCTACTGGATGCAGAGGGAGGGTATTTAAAGCTATGGGAATGGACGAGAGGAGGAGAGCACAGGACTGGGTCTTGCAGCATTGAATATTTAGATTTTGAGAAGAGGAGGAGTTGACAGATGAGACAGCAAATGAGATAGGCCAGTAAAGTGGGAGAAACACAAGGCAAGTATGGTGTCAAGGATACTAAAGAGGAGGGGCTGTCAACTGCATCAATTGATAATAACAAGTCGAGTAAGATCACAGAGAAGTGACTAATGTATTTGGATAGATGGAGTTATTACTCATCTCAGCAAGACAGTTTTATTAGACTGGGAGCTCCTCCACTGGAGCTGAAGAGAGGATGGACGGTGAAAGTGGAGATATGCATAGACATCTCAAAGGCAGCACCTGATCCTTGGCACTCTCCCCTACCCCCTTCTCTCCCTAAATTTTGATCTCTACTGGGGCCCCAAGCTAGAAATCTGGGAGACACTCTCAAGCCCTTCCTCTCAGATCGCATAGGCTATTATTTACAGTTATTCCCATTTTACCTTCTAAATAATTACTGATTGTTTCTTCTGTGCCATTTCTGCTTTTTACTGCTATTAAGCCCTCACCATCTCTAATCGTTCCGACTGTAGCATCTTCCTAGTAATGCTCACAGTTTTCAGCCTCTAGCTTTGACACCCTCAAAATTCTCTTGGTAAAGCCTGAGAGCTCCCAGAAAGCAAAGTGGTCCTATGCTGGCAGACTGATTTTTTTTTTTTTTTAAACACAAAGCTTGCAGTCCTGCTGCTGTGTTCGAAATTCTTGCATGGCTCTTTTTGAAACCGGTTTAGTGTTTCTACTCGAGTTCCTCCTCATATAAACCCAATTCTGTTTCACGCTTATTTCTTTCTTATCCTTGTAACTGCCCGCCCTCCAACCAACCCGCTCAAACAAGCACCCTGACTGGCTCATTGTCACTCATTCTAGCCTGGTTTCAAGTTCAAGGAGCTTCAGAGCCTCTCACTCCCTTGCTCCAGGCTGGTTAAACTGTACACCTTTTCTTCCCTTTTCAAATGCCCTTCCCAGATACTTATATGGAATTCAGTGCCATTTTCTGCTGCTGTTCTCATCACATTCATTCATCATGTTGAGTTTTACAAGTACTAGATTCTGTCAGTTTCTCTAACTGAACTCTGGAATCTTTGAGGTCAGAGAGCTTGCTTCAATCCATTTTGTATTCCCGTAACACATGGCTGGACACACCAGAAGTTGTCCGACCAAGTTCGTGGGTATTAAGGGTGGTCAAAGACGCTGGGGAGAACAGTGCTGGGAGAAGGGCAGCGCGCGTCTTGGCGACCCCAGCGCAGGTCGGAGCACTCCGGAGTCTGGTGTGGAGCGGAGAGGGAGCCCCGCAGAGTCTGAAATAGGTGCACGCGTCAGCAGGGCAGGAAACGAAAAGACAGCGCGGTAATTGGTGGAAAGCTGGAAGTGGGCGCCTCTGGGGCCTCAGCCCCACGAACACAGTCACCCAGGGAAAGCGAACTGCGACGGCCTTGTCATCACCCGCCCGCTGCGCCTTCCCAGCCGTCTCGCCGCTGCTCACGTGGGCGTGGCCATGCGTGACTCGCCGGGGCGCCACGCCCTCTCATCACCCACCCGGTGCGCCTTCCCAGCCGTCTAGCTGCCGCTCACGTGGGCGTGGCCGTGCGTGACCCGCCGGGATGTCACGTGAGCGCCCGAAGTCATGTGATCGCCGTCTGCGCTGCGCTCCGCTGGCGCTGCTTCCTGCCAGGTCTAGGAGTTGTCACTGCTTTCCCTTCTCCGTCTCCAGCGCGCGCAATGGAGGAGGAGGATGAGGAAGCGCGGGCGCTGCTGGCTGGCGGCCCTGACGAGGCCGACAGCGGTGCCCCCGCCGCCCCCGGGGCCCTGCCAGCCCTCTGCGACCCCAGTCGCCTGGCGCACCGGCTTTTGGTGCTGTTACTGATGTGCTTCCTTGGCTTCGGTGAGCCGGGAGGGTCGTGGGGAGGTTGGGGCTGATCTTTAAGGAATTCCTGACTTTCTCTTGAGGTAGATCATCATCGTGGTCACTGGTGCCACCAGGCCCCAGCGCGGCTTCTGTCTTAAGCTCCTGGGCCTCCTCATTTTCCCCTTTGCGGCTCCACCCACACCTGTGGATGCTGCTAGTTACTCCGCGACCGGTACGTGGAGGCCGAGGGGACTGAGCTGGGCGAGTTTTGTCCCGCTCCTTTGCTCTTCAAGAAGTCTCAGGGGCTAGCAACTCGCCCTTGAGGCCATAGATGTGAAGGTAACTCTAGATTTTCAAGGTTGCTCTCTTGGCACAAGTGTTCAGAGGAAATTAAGAAAGCTTTAACTGTTCCTAAACGACTTTCGTTTGTTTGGCTTTTGGTGAGACAGGGGCTCGCTCTCTCACCCAGCCTGGAGCGCAGTGCTGTGAACGTGGCTCACTGCAGCCTTCACCTCCTGTGCTCCAGGGATCCTCCTGCCTCAGCCACCCAGGTAGCTGGGACCGCAGACAGGCACCACCATACCCAACTATTTTTTTTAAATTATTTTTTTAGACACTGGATCTTGCTATGTTGTCCAGCTTTTAAAACACATGAATGATTTTGGCAGTCTTTTATGTATTTCTCACCCTCTTTGAGAAAATGTATGAGTGTGTCTTGCTGATAACTTCAGTGAGTGAATATGTTCTCTTAATCTTCACTCTGCCACTGTGAAGCAATCATACTGGACTGGACTTGTGGTAGTCTTGGCATTGGTTTGTTTCACTTATGATATCTGATGGCTCTGAAAACCATTTCTTGATAATTAGAAAAAAAATTTTTCTTCCTACGTTACAGTTTTTAATTTATTAAGCAACTAATCTAGTATGAATTTGGTATGAATGCGTTTTTCAGGAGGCTAACTGGAGCCCATGTAATCAGCAGGTTTAAGAATGTTATGATGGATAACTATGCTACTGCTGGACCGTATAAGTAGACACGAAGGATGCTTTGGGCTTTGGTTTCCTTGCAACTTTTTTTGCCCCCTCTGCCCTGTTTTTTTAAAAGATGATGCCCATCCTTTAGCTTTAAAGCATGACATTGAATCCCTTAAAAGCGATTAAAGCAGAGTTTAGAAACAACAACAAGAAAAAAAAAGAAGATGAAAGAACAACAGCAAAACGTTAAAAAATTGGCCCTACTCAAGCAGTTTTTTGGTAAATTCTGGTTATCGGCCTAGGTTTCAGAAACCAGATTCCTACCTTTCTAATGACAGTTTTTATTGCCATTAGAAACAATAGCCTCGTGTACTTGTAGAGTTAGTAGAGCTATGGAGGCAATATTGTCTTGTAGACTGCTAAGGAATCTAAATTATTTTATCTTCAAAATAAATCTGAGTGCATGATCAGATCTCTCCCGAATTCTCTCTTTTTAATCCCCCCAAAGCATGTTTTAATTTAATCCTTTAGTATTCTCAGTTTTATTTTTCTTCATTCCTGGCACTGTATTCTCTAAATTATTTGATTTTAGGTAGCTTGTAGAATTAGACAACTTGTTCCAAATATTGGTTTTGTCAGAATGGTTATACTCCATTCCTTTGTTTCTAAGCAAACATTATTAGGAAACTTAGGTTATTTGTAATGTTTTTAGTGTATGTGTGTTTGTAAATAAGGAAATAAAATATAGATGCTTTCTGAAGATGTTAATAAAATAATATATATGTGAAGCATGATGAAAGTAAAATAGAAACACGTTTAATTGTTGATTGTTGACTTTTAAATTCAGGTTCCCAATATTTGCTGCGTATGAATACTACTAACTTATGGAAATTATTTGATACAACTTAGAAAATACTGGTGGATAAGGAAGTGGTTCAGAAATGTTTCTGTAGTGTCAGCCCATAGTATCAGCATTCAGAATTGTAATTTCAGTAGTAAATGCAACTTGAAATTTTATATAGAAAGTATTATTACTTACAAAGTATTTGCTCTTTTCTAGGCAGCTATTTTTGCTATGATAATCCTGCTGCCCTTCAGACCCAGATTAAACGGGTAAGTTGCTTTTTCACCTTTATTTCTTTTGTTTTCTTTAAAACAAGTGTAGCTGTGGAGGTATTATCAACCCTCAGGAGGCCTAGTCTGAAGAGTCCACTGCATCTGTTTTGTAGTCACCAGATCCACAAATTGCAAAAGGTGTTTTTAAGTTGAAATAAGCTACCTACCACAAATAATTCATTGATAGCACATATGTGACTTGGAATTGTTTCAGACCTTAGATAAATAATAATGTGATATTTCCATAGTATTGCCAAAAATGTGAGCAGGTTTTTGTTTGCATTTCACTCTCCCAGCTCTTAGTCATCTGAATGACAAATGATTTGTGAAGATAGTTTTTTTGCCTTCTTAAATAGGTTTCAGTTGTTATTTTGTTTTTTAAATGTGGATACTGATTGCAAAGGATTGTCCATGTCAGGATTTTTAGTCTGGTTTTGTATTGTAAAAACATACTTGATATTTACAGTTTTTTTGGGTAGTTAGATAGCCTTTTTTCTTTGCAGGTTCTTTTTAACCTTTGGACAGGGAAAATACATTTCTCTTTCATTCATTTTAGAATTAAATAAAAAGGAAGTAGGAGCATGCTTGAAGGGATGGAGGGGGTAGGGTAGGTAGGAATAGGCTAAGATTATCCTTGTGTATGTGGGAGGAGTCCACACATGCAAGGATAATCTTAGCCTATCTCTACCTACCCTACCCATGAAGCCCCTGAAATGGCATGTGAACTCAAGAAGTTCCCAGGGTTCCCAGGTGTGACCTTTTTCTGGGCTAGGGGCCATAGGTTTCATGAGATTCTCAAGGAAGTTAGTGACTTACAAATGATTAGTAAAACTTGCCCTTTATGAAAAAAGACCGTAAGGACTTTCTATTTTAGATTGTCATATTTTGATTTGTTAGGTGCTAAACTTAACTGTTTGGAAAAAAATAATTTTATTTTCTTTTCATATAGGACATGCAAGTGAATACCACGAAATTCATGCTGCTGTATGCCTGGTATTCTTGGCCCAATGTAGTTTTGTGTTTCTTTGGTGGCTTTTTGATAGACCGAGTATTTGGAATACGGTAAGCTTGCAAAAAAGTTTCATCTGTGAGTAAATCTTACCTGATTATTAGAAAACTACAGAGCTAGATTAAGGTGTTTCTAGAAAGAACTGAATAAACTTCTGTATTAACTGTGATAGTTTGCATGAGTTTTTTTTTTTTTTCTTTTCTTTTGAGACGGAGTTTCACTCTTGTTACCCAGGCTGGAGTGCAATGGCACGATCTCGGCTCACCGCAACTTCCGCCTCCCGGGTTCAGGCAATTCTCCTGCCTCAACCTCCTGAGTAGCTGGGATTACAGGCACACGCCACCATGCCCAGCTAATGTTTTGTATTTTTAGTAGAGACGGGGTTTCACCATGTTGACCAGATGGTCTCGATCTCTTGACCTCGTGATCCACCCGCCTTGGCCTCCGAAAGTACTGGGATTACAGGCTTGAGCCACCACGCCGAAAAATGAATTTTATATCTCTGGAATTGGTTTTTGAAATTTGATATTTCAGTTAAGGTCAGGACTAGTAAATACTGTTGATATAGGTAATTCAGTTATCTATAGGAAAATTATGCTCACTCTTGGGATCAGATAAACCAGGTTCTGAACCTCATTGTTGCCACTTGCTCATCTTCCTGGCTGTTCTGAGCTGTTTGCAGTTTCCTGAGCTTCAGTTCTCTCATTGCTAAAATACAGATGATTCCTACCTTGCAAGGGGGTTCTAAGGATTAAGTGACAGATGGATGTACAGTATTTGGCACATAGGTAGTATGTGCTTCCTCCAGCCCCAGTGAGATTTTCTATTTCTGCTTTTCTTAGGGTATAAAAAATTTTGTGACCCGTTCTGTTAGATGCTGAGGAAGGAATAACACTGTAAGCTTTGCCATCGTTCATCCTTATTATTGTATGTTGTTAGTGGAACTGAAGAGGAATATAGACTGGGAATATTTTCAGAAGGCAGAGACCAAGATGATGAAAGGTCTTCAAACCATGTCTGGTGAATAAAGATTAAAGAAACTTTCAGAGTTTGTACCTGGGGACTAACCTTTAAAATTTTTGAAGAGTTAGAATATGAAAGAAGAATTAAGTTTATTTTGTTTGGTCTCAAGAGAGAGAATTAGCTTGAAACTTCTGGGGAACAGATTCCTTTTAATATGAAGAGTTTGCCTGGTCAGATTGTCAGGAGATGACAAAAATTATCTTTCTTTCTTTCTTTTTTAAATTTCTTTTTTACTGCCGGCTCCTGTCTAGACCATCAGAGTAACCATATTTCTTAAACTGAAATCTCTCTGATGGCATTTTATTATTCTAGGGGAACATTAATCGGATGCCCAGATTGTAGGATGTTAGACTTGTATAACGTGGTTGATAGTTGTCCTTTTGAAAATAGATTTTAGTTATCCAGAATTATAACCTTAAGATTACTTACTGTAAAATTCCTTGAAATGAATCCTAAACACTTAATAAAAATTTTATAAAGAATTTATGTTTTTAAATACTTTTGACCCTGGGAGCTTCTTGAAGATTAGTTGATTAGTTTTATTTAAGAGATGATAATGATTTAAACTAATATACGCTATTGCTAAAGCCTCTGGAATCCCCTTAGAAGTCTAGACTTCTATAGATTAGCGTTCAGCCTAGGAGAGTTGCTGGCTTCAGAGGGAGATGAGCCCTTTATTTTTCTTTCTTTGGAGGGAATACAGAGGGGATGAAGAAAGCCAAAGTGAATTATTGCTAAAGGACTTTGTGATTACTAATACTAATATAAACAGAAATTAAGAATTTTTTTGTCTTTCTCTTTCCTTTCTCATTCTCATTCTTATTTGTTCTTTCCCAAACAGATGGGGGGCAATCATTTTTAGCTGCTTTGTTTGCATTGGACAGGTAAGGAAGGCCAAAACATTCATTGATTATTGATAGTGACTTTTAAATTCTTATCTAATTAATTCCATTGGCAAAGATGTGTTTAATTAATGCCCAGCTTAATTAAGCAGAACCCATAAATGCCCATATGATGCAATCCATAGTTTATTTTAAGCCTTGAAATAAATGAACATTAATATTTTAACTTCACAGATTTATTAAGGAGGAATATTAAAACCATTGTAGAAGTTGTGATTTATCATGTTACTTTTTGCTTCTCTTTAATACCTTGAATTTACTTTTTCATTGATTTGACATTAACTTCTACATTATAGGTTATTTTTGCTCTGGGTGGAATATTTAATGCTTTTTGGCTGATGGAATTTGGAAGATTTGTATTTGGGTAAGTAATGCATAATTTTATTTATCCTAATGTATTATTGTTTTAGTGTTCACCTCTGAAAGATTTTTAAAAAACATTACCTCTTCTGGGGGATTACTTCACATCCTTGAAATCTAGCTTCATATATATAAGAGTATTTCTTAGTTGTCTTAGTTTTCCTTTTAAATAAGCAACAATTTTGAGTGGTCCTAGTCAACTCTGTGTGGGGTTTAAGTATTAAATAGTTCTCTAGCAATGATATTTTTCCTAGTCATTTTGCCTGTTCTGTTGTATTAGAGACTATGATTTGAACCACCTTTAGAAAAGTGTAGACCATCAATTTCTAGCTTAGTGATTCATGGACATTTCACTCTTTCTTAGCAAGTGATGTGAGGGTCCTTTCAACCCTGTCCAAGATTCTTGCTTGAATGAGCTCAATCTATGTAGGCTGACTATTCTGTGTGAGTTCTTATAGACTAATTGTTCTACCTGAATTGCGCTGTTGGTTCATTGAGCCATATCATACAGTCAGCAAGCCTATTCTGAGACCAGCCTTGGGCTTGGTGCCCTGAGGGACCCAGATGGCAGAACTAACTCAGTCTTAAAAGCGTAACTTATTCAAGCTTTGCACAGGTATCAGGAGCACATAGATGTAGGTGACATGCCCCAAAAGTGAGACAAAGAAGGAAGTGAGAGAGAAAGGAAGCAGAATGTATGTAAAGATATGACAGGGATTCAGAAACAGAAAAGTGCTCAGAAATGGCCTTACAGATGAAGTGGGCCTTGACAGAAGGACAGGATTTGGACTAGTAGAAGAGAGGGAAAATAGTTTTGGACTAGGACAGAGTCACAAGAAATAAGACCATTTCTTAGTTGTCTTAAGACTATTTCTTAGTCCTTAATACTGAGGAGGGCTTGTTGTAAGGATATTGAGGAAGGAAGCTCCTAACTGAAGACCCTTGGAGGAGAATCATAAATACTGGAGCTTATTGAAGGAAAATTAAAACCCAGGAAGCAGGAGAGTGTTGAATATGGAAAGTGAATGGGGGGAGTGATTGATGGAGAGCTTTGCATATTGTTATGAAAAGTGTGAATTTTTATGTTTTCACAAAGCATGGACCACTTTTCCCACTTCTGCATTTTGTATAATATTGATGGTGATGTAGTAACCAAGGCTCCTTTTATTGCTTGTCATGGTTATTATTGCAGCGTATCATATGACCCAACACTTAGCAGTATAAAACAATCATTTCCTTATGTTCATGGACTTTGTGGGCAGGAATTTGGACAAAGTATAGCAAGGACAGCTTGTCTTTGCCCTCAATGTCTGGGGGCAAAGATTCATCATCTGAAAACTCATTGACTCACACATTTGACACCTGGAATGGGATGCCTCAAAGGCTGGGACTGCTGACCGGGGCACTTACATGTGGCCTCTCCTTGTGGATTGCTTTCCCATAGCATGGGGTTAGTGGTTCAGGGCTCCAAGTGCCAGTGTTGGAGTGAAAGGGTGATGTCGCCTTTGATGAATGAGCCCTGGGATCACACTGCCTCATTTCCACCATATTTTGTAGGTTGAAGTAGTCACAAACCCATCTGGCCTCAAGGGGAGGAGACAGAGACCCCATCTCTTGATAGGAGAAGTGCCAACATTTTCAACTGCTGCATTGCTAACTATAGTATTTCTTTAAAGTTGTGACTTTTCTGTGTTTTTTTTTTTTTTTTTCCTATTTTTAGGATTGGTGGAGAGTCCTTAGCAGTTGCCCAGAATACGTATGCCGTGAGCTGGTTTAAAGGCAAAGAATTAAACCTGGTATTTGGACTTCAACTTAGCATGGCTAGAATTGTAAGTATAATGAAAAGCCTGATGAAGCCAAACGGGAAGCAAAAGATTAAATCTTATAGTTATCTCTTAAAAATCACAGGATCAAATGTATTTGTGTATGGTAAATTAGATATTAACTTTTATGTATTTCTCTAGAACACAGCATAGCATTTCCCTTGAGTAAGGCATTTCTAATCTTATTTCATTTAGTAAACAGTTTAAAATGGCATGTACATTAAATTAGTTCAAAGAATCTGAGGATAGGGAGGGATCTTACAAGTTTTGTTGTCTGATTTCTTACCCATTTTTGGCATCCCTGCTATGAACCTCTCCACATATGGCTGTCCAGGTTCTGTTTGCCATGTTTCGAGGGATTGCAAGCTTGCTCTGTGATCAAGCAGCCCACCTACTTCAATGAACTTCATGAAGCATAACCTCACATAGCAATGAAACCTCCCTTTACAAGTAGTTTTTACTGATGGCTCTTCTGCTCTCTGTAGGTAAAGCTTCCCTCCTCTGCTGTGCTATGCTCCTTTGTACACAGCTCTGAAGTTCTTGGTCATATGTGCTCATTTCCTATGGTTGTCTCAGCCACGTGACATGAATCTGGCTCCCTTACCATGGTGCAGCCTCTCTGAACTTACCTCAGTTAGCCAGTAGTCCTGTTGGTATTTGGAACCTAGAAATGATCATGGTGTTTCAGGTTTGGTCTGATAGAGGCTACCCAGGGGGAACAACATTATGGTTTTTCTTTCGTCCTTTGTTTGTTTCAGACAGGGTCTCACTCTTGCCCAAGCTGGAGTGCAGTGGCACAATCTCGACTCGTTGCAGCCTCGACCTCCCAGGCTTAAGTGATTTTCCCACCTCAGCCTATGGAGTAGTGGGGACTACAGATGTGCACCACCATGCCCTACTAGTTTTTGTATTTTTTGTAGAGACAACATTATGTTTTTATTAATGCAAACTATAAGGTGTGTTGGCAGTCCCAAACCCCATTAGGTTTTTTTTCCTCATAAATTCCCATGCATAGAGTATTAAAAAAATTTTTTTTTGTCGCTAAAAATCAAGCTTTCAAGTTTTGACTTTTAATAAGTGTTGTGAAAATACAACGTAGTCTCAGGGAAGAAGAAATTCTATATAAAAAGCTTTTAATATAATACTTCATCATATGAGTATTTTTGTGTTTTTATACATGTAGTTCTTTCTAATTTTTCACTATTATAAATAGTGCTGTAGTCTAACACTCTTGCTGTCAAAGTTATATGCATTTCTTTTAGTCTCCTTAGACTAAGTGGCTAGGAATGGAATTATTAAGTCAGTATATTTGTTAGGATGCCTGAGGACTGTTGAGACATATTTCCACATTATCATCCCAGAGGCGTTTACATCCCCATCTGTGGGATACGAGAGGATCCCTTTTATTGTAGCATTGATAGTACAGGCTATTACTACTTTTTTAAAAAGTTACTGTATCACTTTGATAGGAAACATCTAAATATTTGAATTTGTAATTCTTTGGTAAATAGTGTGGTTTTCCATGTTTTCTAAATTTTATCTATAACAATATTCCCAGAGGCTTCATTACGAGTCTTATGCAAGTCAAGATATGTTTGTGGCAGTTTGTGAATCTAGTTGTCTAACAACTTTTTAAAGAAGGAAGTGAAATCAGTTGAGTAAGACTCAACTGACTTCATTCTGGTCACTAGAACATTGGGTTATTTTCTGTCATTTTAAGTTAGTCATAATTCATTAAGCTGCATTCGGAGAAGCCCTAAGTTTCTGTCTTTCTCTATGTGTGCATATTCTTTTGATGATAGAGCTGATAGGATTGCTAATGGAAAATATGTGGAGTGTGGGGGAAAAACAACAGAGGAGCTCAGTATGACAGCACAGTTTTTGCCTAAGCAACTGTAAGTGCTGTAACCTAGCTCTTGATACTCTGCCCACCATCTTTCAAACCAGCTCCTGCTGTAGTTTTCACATCCTCAGTTAAAGGCAGCTGGGTTTTGGGCATGTTAGATTTGACATGCCTGCCATTCATCCAAGTGGAAATGTTGAGTAAGCAGTTGCATATACAGGCGTAGAATTTAGGGGAAAAATCTGGCCATGTGATGTAAGTTCAGGAGCAAGGAAAATGCTACTTAAAATTGCAAAACTTGGTAAGATCACCAAGACTGTGAGTGTTGAAAGAAAACAGATGATGTCAATTGACCAAGCCCTGGGGCCCTTCCCACATTTGCAGATTGAGAAGATTGAGGTGGAACGAACAAAAGGGCTCCACTGGGGTGGGCAGAAAGGCAAGGGGGAAACTATAGGCTGTGGTATCCTGAAACCCAAGAAAAGAAATCAAGGTGGAGAGGATGTCAGCTGTATGAAATGCTATCGATTAGTCAAACACTACTGAAGACTGAGAAATGTATATGCCTTCAACAATATTCTCACAGCAAATACAGTAGCAAATTTTACATGGCTGTTTTTTATAAATTGCAAGCTAATGGCATTACTCAAATGAACGACAAGGTAAACAGAGACCTACTGGAAGCTTTCTCCAGTATCACCAAAAATATAAGTTTCGCAAAGATAGGATGTTGCCTTAATTATCCTTTCATTCTAAAATATCTATTAAATAACTATTTATAATCTCTATTTACTATTTAAAATATCTGTTAAATAAAATACCATGACCTGGCTTAGCAAGTACTCAATAAATGTTTGATGAAATAATGAGTTTTAAAGTAACGATAATGAAGGAAAATCAAAAGGGTGCTGGATCTCCAATCCCGAGCTAAGACATGAATAATAAGAAAAATGAGAAGTCCATTGAAGATATGTGGTATATGCTAATAATTCAAGTGTCTAAACAAATGAAACTCAACAGCTCAGGCAATAGAAAAGTCATGGAGAGGTAAATCCAGGACCCTGCCAAGGCTGCACAGGGAATAAGAGAAGCACAAAAAAGACGGAATCTATGCCACCCTCGGCAGCTCTTTAATGGAAAAGCTCTTGGCTGTTTTGATCATAAAATTATCTTACATGGACCCTAAATACATAAATCAGGTAAAAGTTGAGCAGCTTTGGCTGAAACTGAGGTGGATGCCTGAGATCTGACTCATTTCTCCTCAAGGTCTCGCTCCCACTCTCATAACCCCTAACCTGCCTCTAAGAAGCCTCTGAGATTGCCTTCTAGAAACCCAGGACAACTTATATGCAAATGTATCTATGCTCTGACCACTTCCCACCACACCCACTGCTAACCACCCGGGGCTAGGCCCCCTCATCTCTGTTTTGGTTTAGTGCTATAGCTCCATAACTGGTGCCTTTGCTTTATCTTGTGGTCTGCTTTGAATGTAGAGTGAGTGCCAGAATGAGTCTGTCAAAGTGTCATGACACTTCTCTACGCAAACCCCAGTGGCTTCTCTCTCAAACAGAATAAAAACTGAAAGTTCTCCTGTAGCTCCGCTTCCCATCATTTTCTCACTGGGACCTCATGTCATCCTCTCCCTTCTCCATTTGTACTGTTCCAGCCTCTATTCTCCTTGCCATTCCTTGAACTCTCCAGGTGAGCTCCTCTTGGGGCCTGTGCAGTGGCTGTTCCTCTGCCTGGAGTGCTCTTCCCTTAGATATCCCCACAGTTTTCTGCAAGTTTATACTCCAAAGTCACTTTCAGCTGGGAGGCCTCCACTCCCAATTTTATATTCTCTTTTCCAGCTTTTTTTTTCCTATTTTTAAAAGTACTTGTTGATATTTAATATACTAGATCTTTTACTTTTTTTGCCAAAAAATGTTGGATATTTTTACCAAAGAAAGTTGGATATTTTTATGCTTTATTTTTTTGAGATGGAGTCTCACTCTCTTGCCCAGGCTGGAGTTCAGTGGCACAGTCTTGGCTCACTGCAACCTCTGCCACCCTGGTTCAAGTGATTCTCCTGCCTTAGCCTCCCAAGTAGCTGGGATTACAGGCACCTGCCACCATGCCTGGCTGATTTTTGTATTTTTAATAGAGTTGGGATTCCACCATCTTGGCTAGGCTGGTCTTGAACTCCTGACCTTGTGATCCACTCGCCTTGGGCTCCGAAGTGCATAACTTTTACTGTCTTCTTTATGGACATTCAGAAGAAGATGTTTTTCCCCCAGATTTCAGTGCCAGGAAAAGTTGTGGTTTTTCTGAGTTACTGGTATATTTTTGTCTTAGGTACTCTGGATTTTATAACTCATGTTTCACTTTTGCTTTGGCTGATAAGAAGTTCTACAGGTACTGTGTTATTTTTTATACTAGCAGTTTCTAATAAATAGGCTTTTTTTTTTTTTTTGCTGTGGTAACTGTCTGTGGCTTTATCTTGGTTTGTCAATTTTTTCTTGTAGTGTTTTTTTAAGGAAATTACCTCCTGTTTAATTTGGATCCTATTATGCCTATTTCTCTGAGCCACCACAAAGCCCTTTTTTTGAACAAAGCAGAGGTATATATAATTGAAAATACTACTGTTGGTTTTCTTTTCCTTCTCATTTAGGGAAGTACAGTAAACATGAACCTCATGGGATGGCTGTATTCTAAGATTGAAGCTTTGTTAGGTTCTGCTGGTCACACAACCCTTGGGGTGACACTTATGATCGGTGAGTGAGTCCCATGTCCCACATCTCATCTCTCCAGAAAGCTTGTCATAGGAAATATCGTAGCAGGGAGGAAGGAACACTGGCATTTGTGTCATATGGTTATAGTTTTGTTTCCAGGGTTCTAATGAACTCTTTGACATAACTAGAAATAGGCTATCATTTACCCGATTTGTATATTAATTTCCACTTCTGAAAATGGATTTAAAATTTATTAAAATGGATGGCCTTATTTCTTGTTGTCTGCTTATTTTTATTTTTATTTTGAAACAGAGTCTTGGTCTGTCACTTAGGCTGGAGTATAATGTGGTGATCTCGGCTCACTGCAACCTCCACCTCCTAGGGTCAAGCAATTCTCCTGCCTCAGCTTCCCAGGTGGCTGGGATTACTGGCTCCCACCACTGTGCCCAGCTAATTTTTGTATTTTTAGTAGAGATGGGATTTCACCATGTTGGTCAGGTTGGTCTCAAACTCCTGACCTCAGGTGATCCATTCACCTTGGCATCTCAAAGCTCTGGGATTACAGGCATGAGCCACCGTGCCTGGCCTGTTGTCTACTTTAATATTGCCATTTGCATCTCATACATAAAAGATTATGTATGTAAAAACTCTTTGAGAACAACCTGAAAATTTATTTAGGTCAGGTGTTAATTAAAAGTCCATAGCATAAGGGAGAATCGTTTCCTTTTAATCAAATACTGACCTTCTCAGTCAGTGTGCCTGAAGGGCTTAGATTTTATAGAAGGCTGGTGTGATATGATACAGTTGAAAAACTGCTAAATTGTGAGTCAGGAGCCTTGGGCTCTAACGCTAGCTCTTACTAGTTCTGTCTTCTTGGACAAGAAAGTTAACCTTCTTTGTCTCTTTTCTTTTCTGTAAAAGTACACTTGTTTCAACAAGATTGTATAGGTCATTACTGTCCCTAAGTTCTCTTGGCCAAGGCTCCATGGTGCTAGTTGCTGGCTGGGTCACTGGGGAGTACACGATGCCCTCTGGGTTTACCCCTTTTGTCTTTTCTCTGGACAGGCAGTTTGTCCAACAACCCATGGTGTGTATTTGGCTGTTTGCAGGGCTCTAGAGACTCCTGTGTGATGATAGGGTGAAAGCTCTGTGCCCAAGATATGCACATCTTTTATTCCATTTTTCCCCAATTTTTAAATTGCCACAAAATTATACATATTTATGGGTACAGTTTGATGTTTCCAAACACAGATACATTGTATAACAATCAAATCAGAGTATATAGCATATCGATCCCCTCATGCGTCTGTCACTTTTTTGTGGTAACAACAGTCAAAACCCTCTCTTCTAGCTATTTCGTAATATACAATACCTTGCTGTTAACCATAGTCACCCTACTGTGCAATAGAACACCAGAATTTACTCCTTCTAATTATAACTTTGCACCCCTTGATTCATCTCTCCCTGTCTTCCTGTCTTCCATCTCCTCCCCAGTCTCTAGTTAAGCCACAGATCTACTTCTACGCTCAGGTTTTTTTTTTTTTTTTTTTTTTTTAGATTCCGAGTATGAATACTATTTGTCTTTCTGTGTTTTATTTCTTATAATTCCTTGATACATACAGCCTGGTAAAAAGAGGACAATGGAGTGGTAATCCTAAACAGGCAAGCATATTTAAAGATTCTTCCAAACTCTCCCTCTCAAATCTTTTGTCTTACTTAAAACCTCCTTTTTACTCTTAAATGCTTCTTAGTATTCCATGTAATTTCCTCCACAATGGGGAATTTTAGAATAAGACTTTTAGAGCCAGAAAAGACCTGTGCCATCATCAAGTCAAATCCTCTTATTTAAAACTGGGGAAATTGAATCTGAGAGAGCTTATGTTCCATGTCCAAGGTGATTCAGCTTGTTATAAGCTTCTTTTGGAAGTGATTCCTGAGAAGTGTACCGTTATTCACTCTTTGTCCTGATTTTCTATAGTGATATGAGATTGGCATTAGAGAGAGACGCTGTTCTCACAGGAAAGAGCTTGAGAGTACTGTGCTTTGGGAGGGTGGGATTGGGATGCCAGAGCAGAGGAGCAAAGGCTGGGGACTCCGGGAAAGCATCCAAAGGAAGAGAGATAGTTAAAGAGCCTAACTTGGCTTTCATCATTTTTTTCCTGGCATCCATTGACAATTGGTGCTTAGACTGAATTAAGAAATGAGGACTAATTCAGTAGCTGGTCATTAGCTTTCTTCAGTCTGTATGCTGTATTACAGGACTAGACAATTTTTTTTCTAGTCTTTTCCTTCTAATCTTTAACTTTGAACTGGGAAATAATACAGTAAAAGCTACTACTGTTTGGTGGGTATTTAAATGTACTCTTCCTCTTCCTCTTCTGTCCTGCCTTAGTAATTGTAGATTTTTCTCATGTCTTTAGGTGACATCCCTTTCAATTGCTGCTTTCTGCTGTTTATGTAATGTACTTCTCTTTAGGAATCTTCAGTTTGGTTCTCTTGTCGGAATCTGTTTTTCTTTTTTTTTTATTTAGGGGGTATAACATGTGTTCTTTCACTAATCTGTGCCTTGGCTCTTGCCTACTTGGATCAGAGAGCAGAGAGAATCCTTCATAAAGAACAAGGAAAAACAGGTAAGTCTAAATGAAAAAATGGGACTTCAGGAAACTATGGCCTTTGTGAGATTTGACAATGAGATAAGTTCCAAAGAAGTGTTATAAAACCAGGTGGAGCTTAATATGTGATTTTCTATTTTTTATTTCCAAATTGGTTTTCACTTTTCTAAATTTTTAGATATATTTTGTTTCCTCTTAGACCTTTTGGCAGAATTTACATTCTTGATTGTTTTTTGTATATTAGCAAAATGGTTATTGTTCTTAGAAGGGAGCAGGGAAGGTAGATGCCAGTTTTAGGTTTTGCTTTTTTTTATGTTATGTCTATGTAAGTTATCCTAGAAATAATGTTTGTGTGATTTACTAGAAAAGCATTTTTTAAAAACTGAATTGCAAAGATTAATCACATGATTTTAAAATATAATCTTGATTATAGATGAAAGCTCCTTAGGTATGCAAAATTATGCTGATAGTGTCTTCCCTTTCTTCTCTAAGGTGAAGTTATTAAATTAACTGATGTAAAGGACTTTTCTTTGCCCCTGTGGCTCATATTTATCATCTGTGTCTGCTATTATGTTGCTGTGTTCCCTTTTATTGGACTTGGGAAGTGAGTATTCTCTACGTTTCCATTGTTTTTTGTCTAAATTATCATGAGAGTTCAATCACATAAATGTAGTTTTTAAAACAGTAAATCTTGCTTCTCTGGTTATAGTTATATTTTCACAGGAATTACTTTAGATCCTAGAATATACATTTTATTTTAGCTTAAGGTTTAGTATTGGTTTTATACTTTTATTATTCTTTTGAAGAAATACCTGTATTAGTCTGTTCTCATACTGCTAATAAAGAACTGCCCAAGACTGGGCAATTTATAAAGGAAAGAGGTTTAATTGACTCACAGTTCCATAGGGCTGGGAAGACTTCAGGAAACATATAATTGTTGTGGAAAGAGAAGCAAACATGCCCTTCTTCACATGATGGCAGGAGAGAGAAATGAGTGCCAGCAGGGGAAATGCCAGATGCTTATAAAATCATCAGATCTCGTGAGAACTCACTGTTATGAGAAAAGCTTGGGGGAAACCACTGCCATGATTCAGTTACCTTCCACAGGGTCCCTTCCATGACTTGTGGGGATTATAGGGATTACAATTCAAGATGAGATTTGGTTGGGGACACAGCCAGACCATTTCAATACCTAATAATGTTTGATTCATAATATTGATTTAATAGTTGATTTTAGACTAGTATTCTTTTTTATTCCCTCTTTATTCCTTGATTAGAAAGGCTTTTACTGAGAATGGAGACTGTTTATTGGTGCATTGTGACTGGGCACATCTCCATTTGTTAGAACTGTAATTCTGCCAGACTTAAATTCTGGGTTCAACATAGATACAGGGAGGGGAACAACACACACTGGGGCCTGTAAGGGGTTGCAGGGGACTAGGGGAGGGATAGCAGGGGGTTAGGGGCTGGGGGAGGGATAGCATTAGGAGAAATACCTAATGTAGATGACGGGGTGATGGATGCAGCAAACCACCATGGCATGTGTATAGCTATGTAACCTGCATGTTCTGCATGCACGTGTACCCCATAAGTTAAAGTATATATATAAAATTTGGGGTTCAAAGCAAATTCTTCTTTGCTTTATCCTCTACTCCTCTCTTCTTTTTTACTGGCAGCTGCTTAAGCTGAGCAATGTGTGTTTGTGTAGGTATATGGTTTATACCCTTTAAGTTCAGGCTGTCCTTTTAAATAATTTGAGACAAGATCTCTATTTATTATTTAGCAAAGTATCCAGCCAGTACTGCTTTTAAGGAAAAGAAGTAGCCTTAAGTCCCTGTGGTAGTATATTTAATTTTCTGAAAATTTGTGTATATTAGTTGCTGCATACCAGAAAAGGAAAAAAAATAGGCATCATATTTTATTAAGTTTTATTTTATTTAGTAAACATTAATATAAATACTGAAGTTTTAGCAGATTGCTTTAAGGTGAATATCAAATAAGGTGGGAAATAGTATCAAGAAAGAAGTTAATTAAACTTGAGTTATCTTTATTTAAATTTATTTTTTGAAAACAGAGTAGTTCTCTCTAATATGCTAATTTATCCTTTTAATTTTAGAGTTTTCTTTACAGAGAAATTTGGATTTTCTTCTCAGGCAGCAAGTGCAATTAACAGGTATTTTTATTAATTTCTAAGTGCCTATTGCATACGAAGTGTGGGTCTTTATAACCAAATGTTATAAGAAGCAAAAAAGATGTATGTGACTTAACTATTTTTAGTGTGAAACTGAGAGTACATTGGGACTTGAATTCCAAGTGGCCATGTTTAAGTTAGTAGAAAACCAAAGAAGTCTTTGACTGCTTTTTATATTTCTGTTTTCTGATGACCATTTTATAAGAATGTTAAATGGGTTAGGATTTGCTTTGCCTGATATTTTCAGGACTTTCTTGATAGTCATGTTTGGCTGTGTTGCATTTCATGAAATGTCTTATGTTTTCTCTGGGCAGTGTTGTATATGTCATATCAGCTCCCATGTCCCCGGTATTTGGGCTCCTGGTGGATAAAACAGGGAGGAACATCATCTGGGTTTTGTGTGCGGTAGCAGCCACTCTTGTGTCCCACATGATGCTGGCCTTTACGATGTGGAACCCTTGGATTGCTATGGTAACGTCTGTGTTAGCACGTGGTGGGCTCAGGGCTTCAGCAAGGAGTCTGTCATGTTCATCTAAGTAAGCATGCGCAGCAAATTCAGATGACAAGGCCTATGATAGTGGGGAAACAATGACCTGATTCCAATTTCTACAAAATAATTTTTTAAAGTATAATTATGAATTATTAACATATGAGGTGTCTTTTAATTTCATTTGGTGTATTTAACCAGTCAATTTCAGTGCTGAAAGAGAATTTGAAATAAAGTGACCTTATAAAAGTCAGAATGCTTATTAGCCCCATTTGTTTTTCTAAAATAAATGACTTAGAAGACATTCCATCATAGATGGCAAAAAACAAAACAAAACAAAACAAAACAAAACAAAACAAAACTATTGGACCAGTAAGCATTCTTTTTCTTTGACTTGCTTAGTAGGTTAAAAAGTGATAATAAATTCAAGTTTTTATTATTGTTCTTCCAAACGTCATTTTTAAGACCTGAGGCCCTAGTGCTGCATTTCCTACCTGTTAATAAAGGAATATCTGGAACACAAATATTTGTGCAGTGAGTGGGAATTTCTGTAGAATTGTTTCTGCAGATACAGTACAGACTCCTAGAATTAGAGATGCTACAGCAGGGGGTTTGCATATTTAACCTCTTGGTAGAAATTGTAAAACTTCTCCAATAACTTTCCACCCATGTATAACTCCAGAAATGTGCAAATGTGACTTTTTTTTAGCATCCTTGCTAGTCATGGGCATTGGCATTGTGTCAGTCTTTGCCAGCCTGATAGGTATAAGTGGTACTCATTTAAATTTAAGTCACAACATTTCCTTTTTAATAGAAGAAAAAATCAGCATTAGGTGAGGTTTACCAAGCATTGGTGGTGGTCATTGGGTGATGGTGACTCAGAGGTGGATGTTGGACTGCTGGTATGATGTTGCCTTGATTGCCTGATCTGTAGTTCCCAATAAATACCGGAAAATTAACTTGCCTGAAACATGGGTAAGAACTTTAAAAAAAATTACCTTTATTTTCTTACTTGGTCCTTGACTGCATCTTGGGCCCTAGGCAGTTATGTATGCCTATAATAGGATGACAAGTGAAAACAGTTACGACACTAGAGGGATACTCTTAGGGCATAGACTTTCTTTTGTATATTTTGAATATGAATTTTAGCCTAATCACAGCAAAATTTGCTTGAATATTCATATATTAACTACTCTGTCACGTTTGCTAATCTGCATTAAAGGAAAATCACATTTTGGTTAATGTAAGACCTTGACCTTTTTCTGTGTTGCTTTCTATAGTGTCTTCTGGGAATCTCCTATTCATTGCTTGCCTGTGCGTTGTGGCCAATGGTGGCATTTGTAGTTCCTGAACATCAGCTGGGAACTGCATATGGCTTGTAAGTATTTACACTGTGGATCATGTATGTCTCTCTCTGCTGTGTCAATTTGATTATCATATAAAACTCCAGATCTGAGTCTGGTTGTCATCAGCTTCTGGGACAGCTCTGAACCTGGAGATAACTGGAAAAGTCAGTAAATCTGTTTAAGATACTGTTGTGGCCACTAAGGAGCCTCCAGGAAGAGGGCTGGAGTAAACTAACCCAGAAGAGATCCTTGCTGACATTATGATCTCCCTGCCTGTTTATGTGAAGCTTCTCAATGAGAAGCTGAGTCCAGTCCCTGGCACAGAAAGGCAAAAGGGGGAACCACACCTGTGGTTGGTGTTCACATGGCCCTTCTTTCATTTAGCACAAAGGTCTTGAGTGCACATTGCACTTAATGAGGCAAGCTCCTTTACCTTTGAGCAGTCTAGTAGTGGAAATAGTTATAGGGTAAAAACCAATCCAAAATCTAATCAAGTCACCTCTGGTTGAAAACGTCTCTGAACACAAATAGAATGTGGTTCACAGATACTAATATTTATAGTGAAGTGTTAGCCTATGTTTGAAGACCTTTGAAAATGAAACATGCCTTTATATTTCTGCCATTGTAGCATGCAGTCCATTCAGAATCTTGGGTTGGCCGTGATTTCCATCATTGCTGGTATGATACTGGATTCTCGGGGGTATTTGTTTTTAGAAGTTTTCTTCATTGCCTGTGTTTCTTGTGAGTATTTCGTGTAACAATATTTAGTTTCTTTTGCTACATAACAGATTATTCTTATTTATACTTAGGCATATCTCCCAGATTTGCATAATTCTTGCCTGTGTATTAGAATTTCATAGCTAGTGACTTTCTAGCCCTCTGAAGATGCACAGGTAATTTTCAGGAGATTCCTATCCTTAAAGGCAGTGATGGAGTTGGTTTCATATTCTGTTTTAACTATTTACAGTTTTTAAAAAATATTTTCCCGCTTAAAGTGGAAAAATTTGAAGAGTCCTGAGTATGTCCCTAGTGTGACTCTGGAAACATTGGTGTAATTTAGGTGTAAGTGCTCATGCTTATTCATTAGGCAGTTTCAAATGGCTTTTATTTTTGGTCTGTAATTTCATTGATTTGAAATAGGAAGCATTAGGAAACTTGAAAAAAATATAAAAATAAATTAGCATTTTTCCATAATCTTTACCATGCACATAAATTTGTTTATCTGAAAAGAAAATTTTCCTTAACACATTAAGATGTCTTTTATACTTCAGTATTGTGCTTAAAATAACAAACCACATTGACGATTTTATCAAACTTTGTTTTCATTTACGGGGATTAAAGACTATCCATACCTGAAGTGTGGTATTTGCAGATAATCACTTATGAGTTGTCTTGAATACATTTTATTATGTCATAAATAAATGTGCATGTCAAATTTTAAAGATAAATGTTTTAAAAAGTGGGTCATGTAAGAATTTCAGGTATTAGGTCATAAAATGTTTTTTGTCTATTTTTGATGCTGCAGGATGTGGTTAAATGTCAGTCCACAGTTCAACACATGTATTTGGGTCTCAAACCAAACACTGTGCCATTTGAAAATGTTTTTCTATTATGTTATTTTATTATTGCTACTTTCTTAGAGATAGGATTTGTCTTTGTCACCCAGGCTGGAAAGCAATGGAGCAGTCACAGCTCACTGTAACTCTGAACTCCGGGGTTCAAGTGATCGTCCCACCTCAGCCCCATAGTAGCTAAGACTACAGGTGTGCACCACCGTGCTTGGCTAATTTTTAAAATTTTTTGTAAAGATGTTGTCTTGCTGTGTTACCCAGGCTGTACTTGAACTCCTGGCCTCAAGCGGTCTTCTTGACTTTGGGATTACAGGCATGAGACAAAATAATAAAATAATAGGGCTGCCCTATTATTTTAAAGTAAATTAAACAGTGTTCTTCACTTATTAAGGGAAAAAGCTAAGGGAAAACTTGAATTTTGAGGTCTTGACTCGCTATGGGCTTCTGGCAGTCTAATGATCACATTTTAATGTTTGGTTACTTAAAATTTATAAAATGGACATGGTGTTTTTAGACTGAAAACCCCCAAAAGATTACTGTTTGGCTTTCTCTAAAATGATAAACAGTCGGGGGCTGGCAGGAGTTTTTGGTAAAGTCCTGGAAAGGACCAGCACTGAGAAAGGGAGAGGAAAGAGGGGCAGGGCTGGCCTGTGGCTGGGGTGGCTCCCTTTTTTGTAGGGGCTTCAGAGTCTTTGTTTCTGGCCCTGCCGCCCCTGGACTGAGTAGCCCTTGGAGAAAATGCTGTGTAACTTATTTTTAGTGCTTTTGGAAAACAAAATAATGTGAAAATAATATTTTTATTTTAAATGCCAATTAATAAAGGTTTGTGTCTAAGCTTTACTTCATAATTGTGAATGCATAGGAATCATTGAGAAGAAATACATATTTTAAGGACCCTATGTTTCTTTCACTCCTAGTGTCACTTTTATCTGTGGTCTTACTCTATTTGGTGAATCGTGCCCAGGGTAAGTAGAAGATCTGATATTTGCTTCTCAAACCACAGTGGTCATCTTGTGGGGTCTCTGGGTTGTCTGCCTCTTTGGGGGCCAGTGCTTTAGTTCATGCAGTAATGACTTTCTGTTCATAATGATGGAAACACATGTGATTATATAATACATAATTATGTTTTCTGGGCCTTCACATTTATTCAAATTGCTGTCATTTAAAAAATCTTCTAGCCAGATCAGTTTCTTATAAAATCTTAGATGATATTTTTACACTAGCATAAAGAAATATGGCATTTAAAAAGTAACCTAAAGCCCCTCTGTGTTATTGTCCTACGTTAAAACAAATAAGAACTAAGCAAATTTATAGCTATAATTTACATTTTAAGGTTGAAGGTGTTTGGTTTATAATTAGAAATTAGAGTTTATTTTTTTTTCTAATTCATACTATATGTATTAGTGCATTATTTTGTTGTTCTTTGTAAGATTTTATGTTGCCCTTAGTAATTTTTCTAACTGCTTGCTCCTAAAGTGTATTATATATATTTAGTAGAATATAATATACAGTTGCTTAATTTTAGGTCATTTCCTTTTTTTTTTTTTTTTTTAAATAGTTTTCTTTCTTTCTTTTTTTTTTTTTGACAGAGTCACTCTGTCGCCCAGCCTGGAGTGCAGTGGTGCGATTACAGCATACTGCAGCCTCAACCTCCCAGGCTCAAGTGATCCTCCCACTTCAGCCTTCCAAATAGCTGGGATTATAGGCGTGTGCCGCTACACCTGGCTAATTTTTAAATTTTTTGTAGCTATGAGGTCCCACTATGTTGCCCAGGCTGGTTTCAAACTCCTGAGCTCAAGCAATCCTTCCGCCTTAGCCTGAGATTTACAGGCGTGAGCTGCCACACCCATTTATTTCCTTTAATTTCTCTTAATTTTTGTTATTGAATATTAATACAGTGTCCTAATTAGCAACACCTGAAGCAATACATAAGTCCAAACTTAAAAAAATGCTTAAATCAAGGGGTGATTATATCACATAAGAATTCCATTTTTTTCCTTTGGGAAGGTTCCAGTAGATAAACGATTTCTTTTTATCCTCCGTAGCTTTTTCTGTTACTTAAAATACAGTATATCTGTGCAAATGGTTGTATGTACCTGTGTATGGTTGAAATTTGCCTATTGATAATACTTATATGGAAAAGATTCTGTGTTTATTTGTGTCTTAGGTGGAAACCTAAATTATTCTGCAAGACAAAGGGAAGAAATAAAATTGTCTCATACCGAGTAAGTATAAAAAGGGTGAAAAGTTGTCTTTATTTTGGAAATCTTAAATATGAGCATTTCATTTCATGGTTTGGACTTTGAACTTTATGTTTGAGTCTCACACGTGTCATCCAGGCTGGAGTGTAGTGGCACAATTATAGCTCATTGAAGCCTGAACTTCTTGGCTCAGGCGATTCTGCCATCTCAGCCTCCCAGGTAGCTGGGACTGCAGGTGTGTGCTGCCACGCCTGGCTAATTTTTTGTATTTTTAGTAAAAATGGAGTTTTGCCACATTGTCCAGGCTGGTCTAGAACTCCTGTCTCAAGTGATCTGCCTGCATCGGCCTCCCAAAGTGCTGGGATTACAGATATGAGCCACTGTGCCTGGCCTGGGCTTTTAACTTCTAACAGATTAGTCTTTCTTTAGTTTTGAGAGCTATTATGTCCGGAACTATTATAACAAAATTCTTGTTTGATTCAGAAAATTTAAAGATGGATATTAAGGCTTAAAATGAAGGGAAAAAATTGGGTTTAAGTTGCCCTTAGAGAGAGAGAGAGAGAAAGAAACAGAGAGAGCGAGAGAGATCTATGGTACTTGTAGTTTATTGGAGGAAAGGCCATTGTCCTAAGTGCCTGGGCTGGGCTTACCCTTCCATTTTTTCAGATATTTTCTTTTTTTTAACTAGTGGATAATTTTTCATCTTCTGGTACCAATATGTGGTTCTGTGTTCTCTGACTCATTTGGAAGGGATTTAAGTATATAGCATGGTGTTTAACTTTTTTTTTTCTCGAAGTATATACTGAATCATAGTAGTGATTCTGTTTCCTGTTATTTCTAATATTTTTAGATATTGAAGTTTTTATGATTTTAAACATTTATTTGTAAATATATATACCATGTGGTTGTGAGTTTTGTGACCTTCGACTAGGTTAAAATCTGGTAGAACAGTCTGTGTTTTTGAGATGGGATGGCTTTGGTCATGTTAAAATCACTTTTAACAAATACTTCTTAAAATAATCGTAAATATGAGTTTTTAATATCTTTACGATAGTCTCATATGTTAAGTTTGGAAACAATATAAATGTCTTAGAGTAGGGGAAATTGTTAAATATATTATGACACATCCATGTAATATGTTGTTAAAATCATGTTTTAGAAGGATTTTTAATGTCATAGATACTTAACATGCTGTATGTTAAGTAAACAAAAGATAAAAATGCAAATATAATATCCTAATTTTAGTAAAGAAAAAGTATGCTGTCAATTGCTTGTCTTAAACCCAATTACGTATAATAGAAAAAAATACCACTAGAAATAACCTCAAAATAATAATTAAAACCTCAGACTATTAATTAAAACCTCAGGATATTTTTCAAATTTTCTACATTGATCTCTTGTGACTTTTAGAATCAAGAAGAGTTAAAAAGTTATTCAGAAAAATTGTGTAGCTTACTATTTGCTGTTACATGTCTTGTAATGCTTATGGTTTTCGTTTTGTAAGTCAGATGAGCTTCATGTTTTTTTCTTCCTCTTTTTGATAATTTATTGCATTATGTTTTGCAGATGAGAATTTTAAATGAATGTGTCATGAGAATGGACTTAACATATCATTGGTTTGAAAACCTCCATTTAAAAAAATTTAGAGTTTAGTCACTAGAAAAAATAATGGACTGGAAAGTTATATTTACATCCACATATACTGTACCTATTTCAAAGTGTATTTCAGAGGATTATTGTAGCCTGTGTCTTCTGTATTGTGTGTTGCTGGAGAATTCTACTTTTAGTAGGCTAATCAATAATGAAAGGGTTAGAAAATTGCTCTGGAACATCCAGGTGAACTTCAGGAAGGAGAGTGAAAAATAGAAAGCATTGGAGCTTCTGCTGAGATAATCTTCATTGAGTATATACCTTAGGGATATCACCTTTTCTTTTCTTTTTTTGTTTTTTTGAGACGGAGTCTCGCTCTGTGGCCCAGGCTGGAGTGCAGTGGCGCAGTCTTGGCTTACTGCAACCTCTGCCTCCTGGGTTCAAGCGATTCTCCTGCCTCAGCCTCCGAGTAGCTGGGACTACAGGCACGTGCCACCATACCCGGCTAATTTTTTGGTATTTTTAGTAGAGATAGATTTCACTATGTTGGCTAGGCTGGTCTTGAACTACGGACTTCGTGATCTACCTGCCTCGGCCTCCCAAAGTGCCGGGATTACAGGCATGAGCCACAGTGTCCAGCTGGAATACCGCCTTTTGTCTTATAGCTGGAAAAAAAACTTTGAGGGGAATAGAAGGGCTACTTTATACAAAATAAACAATGGCATTTTCATAGGCCTTCCTTTTAGTGGTAGGGCATAATGCTAGGGAATATGTGAAGATGTTTTTATGAAGTCTTTCTGATCACGACCAGTAATTTGTGCTGTACACTGTAGTTACGTGGATTGCTGAGCAATGACCCTTTTGAATTTCTTATTTCTGTGTTACTGAGTTATGTCTGTGTTATGTCCCTAATCACTTAGGGACATAATTTTATGGTACAAACTTCCTGTACAATTTTTCTTAAAGTCTAATTAATAACTAAAAAGTGTTCTTCAAATTATAATTGCCTATTTACATGGATAAATAAAAACACTGCACAAAGAGTTCTTGATGTCTTCTTTTGATTTTAAAAAATACAAACACCTTGATTTTAACTTTTATTCATGCAGAAGATTATCTAGAAGAAAACCCAAGTTAGAATAAAGAAACCTTGCCCAATTACAGTCATTGAAAGATTGTGGGGTAGCTTTTTCTCCAGAGTAGAACTTTAAGTAACATTTGTGGTTTTTTATATTAAGTAAAATGTGAATATGAAGCTTCTCTGATAAACTTTAAATACTTTTTAATGTTTTTCAGCCTTAACATATTATTTGTTAAAGTCAAGGAATGCAGATATTTTAGACAAAATGCAAAACCAATGTGTTTAGCTGATTGTATTGTTTACAGCATGACATTGTAAGCTTACATGTTCGGAAACAGATCGAAAGTATATTCCTTATGCAGGGTAGCTTGGTAGCTTTATTTAAACAGATTTATCTGTTTAAATCTGTTTTTCTGACTTACAGTTTATTGTGTTGATATGGTTTGTCTCTGTGTCCCCATCCATATCTTATCTCGAATTGTAATCCCTACGTGTTCGAGGGAGGGACCTCATAGGAGGTGATTGGATCATGGGGGCAGTTTCTCCCATGCTGCTTTCATGATAGTGAGATAATTCTCATGAGATCTGATGGTTTAAAAGTGTGGCACTTCCCCTACATGCTCTTTCTCTCTCCTACCATCATGTAAGACATGCCTTGCTTTTCCTTTGCCTTCTTCCATGATTGTAAGTTTCTTGAGGCCTACCCCAGTAATGTGGAAGGCCTCAGGAAGGCCTTTTATTTACACATTACCCAGTCTCAGGTAGTATCTTTATGGCAGTATGAGAATGGACTAATACATGTGTCATTACTGAGTTGTTAATTCTTTTTTTTGAGACGGAGTTTCGCTCTTGTTACCCAGGCTGGAGTGCAATGGCGCGATCTCGGCTCACCGCAACCTCCGCCTCCTGGGTTCAGGCAATTCTCCTGCCTCAGCCTCCTGAGTAGCTGGGATTACAGGCACGCGCCACCATGCCCAGCTAATTTTTTGTATTTTTAGTAGAGACGGGGTTTCACCATGTTGACCAGAATGGTCTTGATCTCTTGACCTTGTGATCCACCCGCCTCGGCCTCCCAAAGTGCTGGGATTACAGGCGTGAGCCACCGCGCCTGGCCTGAGTTGTTAATTCTTTAGGCTCTGACTGCCATATGACTGTTTCAGCACATGGGTATTGAATATTGACCTCACAAATTGGGGAGAATGCAGGAAGTCCACACTACTTCTGCTGGAAGGCCCATGTGGCCTGGCCTCTTGCCTTGTCTTTCCACCACCTCTGCCCAAGCCACAGTGAGCTGCTTACATGTTTTCAAATGGATTGTGTTCCTTTCCCTCCCACTGGCTTTGCCCACTCTGTTCCCTGTGCTTAGAATGTTTTATCTAAGGCTCTCTGGAACCTGTTTTTACCTGATTTATACCAGAAAACCTTAGCCCTCAGCCCAGAAGCATTCTTCCTCATGCAAGTTCTTCCCGATCCTTCAGGCCATATATTGGGTTCTTCTCACATTGCTGCAATCTTGCAGTATTCCTTTTTTAGCTTACCACAACTTATAATGAAGAATTTGTGATAATATGGGCATGGGTGTCTCTCTCTTCCATAGATTGTAAGCTCCTTGAGGGCAGGACTGCATCTATTTGTTATCGATGGTTGTATCAATAGTGCCTAGCAAAAGTAGGCACAAAATAAATGTTTTTTTGAATGATATATAAAAAGGAGAGTAAATTAGAATAACCCTTTTGGAGGACGAATTGGCAATATGAATAAAAAACCTAAAAGGGGGATGGTGGTAGGCTGCATGCCTTTTGGCTTAGCAATTCCATTTTTAATAATTTGTCCTAAAGAAACTATCCGATGAATATACATGTAAATATATTTTAAGACAGTATCTTCACTGCCAGATTTTATAATAGCCAAAAGTATAATACAAAGCCACTGTAATTTACAAGAATAGGAGATTTGTTAAATACATCATGTTACATACCTAAAGTGAAATATTAAGTAGCCATTCAATGGTTTTGTTAGAAAACATTGACATGGAATAATGTTGATGGCATTTTTACATGGAAGATTCATAGTGGTGACATTTTTGTAAAAAAAAATATATCTGCATGATGATGCACACCAGTGTCTCTGAATGATGAGTTTCTGCTGGCTTATATATATTTTCTGAGTTTTTTCAAAATACCTTTTTTTTTTTTTTTTGAGGCAGAGTTTCGCTCTTTCACCAGGCTGGAGTGGCATCTCGGCTCACTACAACCTCTACCTCCCGGGTTCAAGCAGTTCTCCTGCCTCAGCTTCCCAAGTAGCTGGGACTACAGGTGCATGCCACCACACGCAGCTAGTTTTTGTATGTTTAATAGAGATGGGGTTTCAGTATGTTGGCCAGGATGGTCTCAATCTCCTTACCTTGTGATCTGCTTGCCTTGGCCTCCCAGAGTGCTAAGATTACAGGCGTGAGCCACCACACCCAGCCCACAATAACTTTTTATTATGTAATGGTTTTAAAAACCCCACAAAGAATATAATTCAATGCAAATTTGGGTCCTACTGTTTTAAAAAAATGATAATGTTCAGAAGGTAGGGAAGTAATAGGTAGTGTTTTTCAAAGAACTCTGGGGATGTAGAATGGGAGTTGAACAGTGCCATGAGTTAGAAATCAAATTTGCATTGACAGGTATACAATTGCATGTAAAGGGAATTTTCAGAGAAAAACGGAAGAGAGTGGCATCAAGGAGAAATGAAACAATGCCTTTATTTTTTAGTCCTAGTATTCACTGGTAGCAAAGAACAGCCCCACCTTGTGTGTGTGCTGCTCATGATTTCTGGAAGGCCTCAACCCCAGCCTCATATCCTTTGTCCTCTTCCATTTGAGGGTTCCTGAGTGCCTCTGGGGATTTGGTCGTAGACCTTCAGCAGTGATTTGCTGCCAAAAGGTTCATGGAAGAAAGCTTTGAGTTTTTGTAAGAAATACTAAAAAGCCCTGACATCATGTAGGCCAGACAGCCAAACTTAGTATAAACTCAATAGCATTTATTTCTCTCAAGTGTATTTGTGTATATGGTCATGTACTCCTGTGCGCATGTGTTTTCTTCAGTGGACCTTTATCAGTTCCACGTTTTGGCAGCTGCCTGCTGTGGTAATCCACCATATTCCCTAAGCTGATTTTCCCCCTTGTAGATTTGGCAGATTTATCATGTAATGAAAATTAGTGGATCTACAGGGCACTTCATTTCAGATTATCATGTACTTGTAGGCATTTGTCATTTTGTCTTTTTGAAGAGGATCACCTTTGATGCGTGTTTCCCAAGTTTTACTACATAGTAGCTTTTGTGTTTCCATTTTCTTTTTAGCAAAATAGACAATTACTAGAGTTCCTTCTATAGCACTCTCATTCTTAATTTATGAAACAGAAGGATATGACTGATATATGTTAGATCTGTATTTATTGGTGGTGACCTAAAATGTTTACAAATGTATCTCTTCATACCTTGTGTAGTTGATGGGTTGGGCAAGCTGGGACCTCCAGGATTGCATTCACATTCCTTTGGCCACTGTGGTAAGTGAAGCACCCTGGAGAGGCAACAGGGTGCCCTCTGGAATTTCTAAGAGTCAGTGAATTATACCAAACAGCTGAGTGTATGCTAACTGCTTACAGGTATTGCTCCACTCCCCTCAGTATTGAGGCTTGTTCAGTTTTCTAAGGAAAATCTGATTATTATGGGGGTTCTGTGTCTTACTATTTTCAGACAGTTTTTAACCTTTTGAAGCCAACCCTGTCTGTCCTGGGGAAGAGGTAAAGAAAAATTTCAGGACAGAAGGGAAACCCCTGCCTCCAGCCCAGCGGAGCCCAGATTTTACAGGGTAAAGTGAACAAGAGATGGATAGTGAATGGAGTGGGTGGGAGGAGGATAAGAGAAAGGCCGAGCTGGAGCTGGAAGCAACAGAGATCAAGAGCTGGGGAGAGAAAAATGGCTGGAGGTGGTAGGAAGGTGGGCCTGGCAGCAGGTCATCCCAGGATTTCAGAGTCATGTCCATGAAATGGAGCGAGCGTTAGAGGGAAGAGTCCTCTTCAGGCTCTGGTAGACTCCAGGCTTAGTGGACAGTAGGATGCAGGGAATGGGCCTGAGGACAATCATGTTTGATGGATTTCTTAAAATGTTTTCCATGACTTCCATCTTTTTCAGAACTCTATGAA